AGTTATGTTCATAACCACGTCATATTTATAGTCACCAATAAAACCAGGGACCCATGCGTAAAGATTATAGTCACCAGGGCGTATATTGCTGATGGAGAAATATCCATCATCGTCTGCTTTGGCCCAAAATTGATAATTCTGATAACAAGTAAACTGCCATACTTGAGTCATTGACAGACAGATGGTGCTGTACGTTATAATGAAAATGAGAACATTGACAGAAGAAAAGTTTCCCTTTTTAATAATCACCTTGCATTCTCTTTGCCATGATCCAGTGTCTCCTGGCGGAGCCAAGCCAACATAAGCTCCTTTTGCTGAGATATAATCATCTCCAATGTACCTATATCCATTGTCATATATCATTACTACGTTCTTCATGTATGTCTTATCAACGAATTTTATAAATACATGCCTTGCAGAAAAACTTTTTTGAAACTCAAATATTCACTCATCACATTTTCATTGAAGTTCTTGACTACAAAAATCTATAAAAACAAGCTAAATTTACACTAGAGCACAAGATGGCAGAAATATCCGCTTGGTTCAGTCAATTCAACAAACAGGTTGAGGTCATCATCACAAGAAAATAAATAATGTGCCAAAAGAACACACCTGTCTCGGACGAGTAGCCTACCATTGACATTGCCACGTTCGTCCCACTTTAGGTAATCTTGTGAGGCAGGAAAATTGTAGGGCCAGCTTTGAACTTCTATCTGCATCTGCATGTTTTGAATGCGTGTTTGTGTTACTGAGGAACTATATACGTTTGAAAAATGGAGGTATATGTGATATAGGGGAAATCCTGAGTTGATACCTGAAGTTTAGCGTCATCCCATAGCTTATTAATTGGGTTGTCTCCGTTATCGGAAGAATTCAAATAGATGAAAACTGGACCAAAAACTTTCTTCCATGCCTCGCCGGCTTTGAATTTTGGCACCAAATCTTCTCCGCTATAATGAGGGCTTAGAAACACCTGATTTCGTCATTTTAGGAGACATCTACTAATTGACGATAATTACGTATAATGAGGGGATGACTAGTATGTTAATGCTTCATTTTTCATGTTTTTGGTTTTCCCTTTGCTACATACGTTTGCATTTGCATTATCAAAGTTTGAAGTTGCATTGCCGAATTTCTTTCTTTTTAAAAAAGAAAAGAAAATTTTATTATTTTATAAAACAATAAAATAAGTGAAAATATTTAAAAAAAAAAATCATCTAAATTTTCCAATCCCGATGTTTAAATCCGATGATCAAAACATCGATTAGATGAACCACTTACAGCAAGAGTGGCAGGTCCCACGTGAGAAGTTAAGTTCTGCTTGAGAGGTCCACCGGATCGGAACTCGTTGCTGGGTGTTATTAGCCAGAATCCTACCGCTGTCTCCGTGGAAATCCACCCATGCAACTTGCTGTCTTTGTTGTCACATGAATATTGGTACTTATCGTCCACCTATGCAAACATCACATGCGTTTCTTTAATTTAATAATAGTAGTAGCAGTAGTTTTAACTTTTGAGGCACCTTGGCGGTATCTTCAATTAAACATCATTGTAATACTTCGGAGCAATTGCTAATAATAATATTGATGCAAATTACTATTCTATTTGGATCGAGATATATAAATTGTAAATAACTGCTTAAATATTAAATCAAGCCATTTTACCCAGTTAACCCCTTAGATGTGCTTGTAATTTCTTTTTAATATACAATACCATTCTAAGTGTAGAAGTTAAATAATTAATTCACATAAATTAAAAAATTCATTAAGTTAGTTATTTATAAAATGTGTGTTATTTTCCTAAAGCATGTTATTGTTTTCAAAACAATTCCTATTGATTGCACAATAGAGATAATTTAAGAAAATAATAAATACCAGTGATAAAAGAGTTGAATTGAAAATTAAATACTAAAACAAGTCCATCAAGTAATTCACTAATTCTTATATTTAGGATAGGAATTTTAGCCCTTGAAAAAAGAATGTCAAAAGTGTGTGTGTGTGTGTGTAAAAAGAATGCCCCACTCACTTCGGAGAACCAACATTTCATTACCAACAATCTATATGCTGATTGCCGATATTACCGATACGTTGGCAAAACAAAAAATATTTACCGACAATCCGACAGGGTGATAAAAATTCAGACAATCTTAAGAATGTATTATTAGCAATTGCACGAATGTATACGAAAGAAAAATTTGACAGAGCACATTAAATGACTGTTTTATCATTATTCTTTTTTTTTTTAAAAAAAAAGCATCAACACCCTATGCCTTGTTTAAATTATTATTGCTATCCGCAAGCACTGGCGAAGTCGTAATCTATCAATGGATGATATCGTTCTAAAATAATATTGTAGGGTACCTCTCCTTTCAATTCAGGTTCAATAGGATTAACCAGAAGAACAGCCTCGGGATAGGCAAGTGCTTGACCTCTAGGGGGTGATCGGTCACTCGGGAGTGGCATGTTTCTTTGTCTATTATCTGCCATTGCCATGTAATGAAACCTGCCCAAGTATCATCATTACCCACTACTTACTTGTGTGTGTATCACTCCATTGATCACCACACATGAAGGAAATTTAACAAAAAAAGACATTTGAAACATGTACTTGTCTCTGCTGAGCTTGAAAGCAATTCTGGTTTCGTCGAGATTGAAAGCGGGCCAGTCATCTAAGTGTTCGTAAATGGCATAGGAGTAGAGGCCAGAGCAACCACGACACATTATGAACCTACTCACCAGAATTAATTATCGTATGCATGGTTAGTTTTTGACTCACACTTTAATTTATGATCGATATATGTATAATAGACAAGGGTTAGTTATGAAGTTAATGAACCTTTTATCGATGTTTAAGGGAACCAGCTTGCCTTCAAGTGAGGCATCCCACGTTCTTGTGAAGGATAACTCAACCTGTTGCTCATTTTCCATTATCACTCTGAAATAGGTTCCCCTTATCCTGCAAATTAAATGAACGACTAAAATTATGTCACTGTCTTTAAGGATAGATGGGATTTGGGAAGATTGAAAACAAGCAAACTGAGACTTATGAATAGAAGGGAAAGAGAGAACTTTTGACATACACATCAAATATTCCAGTGGTTCCAGGACTTGTCGGCGAGCTCCACACAAGATCCCAGTACCTACATCAAGAGACAGTGGTCAAGTATCCCAGCTTATTTATTTATTTTTAAATATTATTTTTATTTTTATTGTTATCAAACAGGTAGGACTCAGCAAAGGTATTTAATTTAATATACCCTCTATTAGATTCGTCGTTCTGATATTCGAGCAAGTTGTCGATGCCATTATATTCTATTCCTGTGACTATTCCACCAGGATTTGACAAGGTTACCTTTAGTATGCCATTGTCAATCACCACCTGCACCATCAATGTAATTTTAATTGAAAATGCATCTTAAGGAAAAACCTACTTGAAATGAAGTTTAAGACAACCCCACAATTCTTAGCATGAATAATTTTCATTGAACAGCAACTAATCGAGAATAGTATGAAGATGAAAGGAACATCATTCTAGCTAGAAACAAGATTTTAAATACATGATTATCTTCAATAAGCAGTTGCACTCCTGCTAGCGCCATGGCTGGTATTCTCACTAAGTCACAGATGAAAGCCTTCAAAGGTTCAGAATACTCTGACAATGGTTAAGAACTCGAAATTGATGGGAACTAAATAATGGGTGGACTTCGTTACAGCGAGGAGCTTTTTCAAACACGTCTCGAGAAAACAGATTGCGCTTACGTGTTACCACAAAGCAATCTGCCAATAGAATTTGGGGAAATCTTAGAGGACTTTGAAGTGTTGGTTTAGTTTTCTTAAACTAGCAAGAAAGCATTCTTTATCAGGCTCTAGTTTAATCTCTTTACTTAGTCGCCAAAGCAGTTTGGTGTGTATAGAGGCGTGCAAGTGAAGCAGCAGATTAAAAATATGAGACGGCTTTTCTTTTTCCTTTTTCTCTTCTTTACTTGTTTTGGTTTCCCCTCGTTTAGTTGATTGAGACTTGAGAGAGTTAAGCCGCAACGTCGCTTGGTCAAAGAACTCATGGGAATTGACTTTTCATTCAGATCCAAGGAAATCATCAAACGCTGACAAATTATAATGTTAAGGTTCACCAAGTTGCTCCTTAATTACCAAACGAGTATATTGAGCTCGCAAGTTTTCTTTTACGAAACAGAGGTGCATGGAAACCAAGGTGCACTCGTTGGGCTCAATCTGATAGCAAGGAAAATTAAGTTTTATTTATTATTCATTGGAAATTAGTCAATAATTGTTAATAACATTAGTTAGTAGCCTTCTTAGCGTTATCGAATGAAATAGAACTGATGCTTATATAACCGTTAGCCTTATCCAAGAGCAGTTGGAACAAATCAGTTTGTTCTAGCTTGCAGGAGAGCTTCTTACACGGAGAAAACTTATACAGTTAGACTTATATATTTAAAATGCTTGTATCCAATTAAATCAAGACATGTGGATTATTTATAGATTATTTTTTCTATAATAAATTCTTATTATTAATTAAATTAATATATTGAGATCCATATGTCATGATTTGATTTGATATAAGTATTTTAAGTATATAAGATTAAGTATAAAAATCTTACCCCATCTTCATAACCCCTTAATCAGCATTGCAGCCAATAGCTTGTATGCATCTGTAACTAACAAAGAGAATAGCTAAGCACATGACAACCGAGCCACAGCCCATAACTGTATTTGCCATAATTCATTACATGAAAGTTTACCTCAAGCAAAGGAACTAGGAGTGGTCCTCCTCCTTTTTTTTTTCTTTTTAAAAAAGGGCCTAACTAGATGTGATGTAATTGTGAAAAATATAATTCAAATCTATCAACCATGAACCAAAAAGAAAACGTAATCTAAGCAGTCTTTTGCTATTCAAGTCATTACAGGAATATCCATTTTACCCATTTTACCTAGATATAGCATTTTGTGAGTTTGCACATAAAAGGAAGGGGGAAAAAAAAGAAATTCTAACATCACTAAAGTAAAATGGAAGATGTCTGCAAAAGTGTGGCTGTACATAAATTATGTGTGCATGATAATGTATGCTACGGTTCCTGTCTTTATAATTCAAGTCACAAGACTGAGTACAAGAAATGATTGATAATAGAATATAACACTACCAATGACTGGCATTCCAAGGTGATGTATACGCCCCACAATTTTGCACCAAATGTATTTCTGTCCTTATGTTTAGCGTAAAAGGATATTGAAGTTATTCTTTAAAAACAAGGAGGACCTTCCAAACGAATATAATCGTAGATGATCCCCTGGAAAGGGCTGTTGCATCTTGGTTGGGTTAAAAATATAGTGTTTCTGCCATCAACAAGAGTAACACCTGGTACATTCACATTGTACAGCCGATAGAGCCCGTGAATCCCATGTCTTGCAATTGAGTTGTCCCTTCCTATTAATCCAGTGGTAAATAGGGGACGCTTTGCATTTGGATCATTTACTCGAATCTTCACAGAACCATGTATATAGTTTAACGTAAAATTTTATCAGTATTTTGCACCAGAACCAGACAAGAAATCCCTTTGTGTGTGTGTGGGTGTGGTAGAGAGTAAGAGACAATTACCTGCACTTCGGCTAATGTTGCAGACGCAATTGCAACTCTTAGTTTATATGTACTTCCCCGAGCAACATTATTGAGTTCAAACTTAATTTGCCAAGTTGTTCCTTGAAGAGTGTTATCCTCTTTTTTTCTGCAGTTGCAAAGGCTTGAAAAATTAGTCCATGGTATGTACTTGTATAACATAAGGTGGCAAGAAGCAGGTATTACATGATATCCAGCCATTTTGTTCCCAAAAAAAAAACATGAATGTTTGGAGGCTCAAACCTGGGAACCTGAGCGAAAAACCAGTCTTTCGAATAATCACTAGCACCAACTGTGTAAATCAAATCAGCATCAGGATACAGTTCTGTGTACCTGTCCCACAATCCATACTGCCTGAACCTACCAGTTGTAGAAAAGAAATAAGACAAAAAGCATCTGAAACCAAAGCATTTTAACCAATCCTTTAAGAAGGCTCAGTTGGGAGAAGAGGGATTAAAAAAATCTTCATGTTGCATGTAGCATAAATTCAAAAGTGTGCAAAACAAATTAATATCAATATAAAATTAAAAAAAAATAGTAAGTCATACTATTTATAGTTACGAGCAGTACAGCTCAGACTCCATGCAATGCATGAGGCTCACCTATTATTTCAGCAACGAAAGAATAAATGGAATTTGATCACCCCACCACAGTAATGAGCTAACCTGTCTGGGTGGTTGACAAAAAGCCTATTAATGAGATGTGGATTTGGATCAGGAATGTAAAATTCTGCAGCAGATCTATCAGGAATGCCTATTTCCCACAACGTGGGTCCATCTCTTGGGGCCTCATACACAATTTCACCCACTTCGATATAGGAACCTGCATTACAATTTACAGTAAGTGCATGTTGACCATCTGATGATAAATGATCTCAATTTCAACAAGCTGAGGATGCAACACCTGAATCTATCTTCATCGGATCATCAAATCTGTAGTCTCCGACAAAACCAGGGACCCAAGCATAAAGGTTGTAGTCCCCTGGACGTACATTCTTAATGGCAAAAAATCCATTCTCATCTGCTCTGGTCCAGAATTGATAGTCCTGACAAGATGCAAAAGTTAAAATATCATCCGAAAAGGGGCATTTTTGGGCACTCCAAAGTAGTATCCTTCTGGTCAATTGTCCCTTAAATCTTAAATAAAGGTAACTTCCAATAACTATTTTCCTCTTAGAACTTTGTTTTATATGATATATGTTTTCGAAAAGAAATGCCTTCGTTTGCAAGGTTGCCACAATCTGTGCAATACTACAAAATGATAGCTCTTTTCAGAAGCTTGATCCAAAGAACCAATAATATACTCTGTAAGACGCTGCAAAGGATTGTTTTCTAGTTCAATTTAGTCTGTAATCTAACGAATTCATGCAGCAAGTAAAAGTAAGTAATGCAATCCACAGAATCCCTCTTTTTTAAAGGGATTAAAAAAAGTGTGATTCCTCCACCCTCACCAGGAGAGAATAAAATGGAGCGCAACCTACATACTATTCATGTAACTAAACTACTACTTCTGTCTCAAATTATAAGACACTTTTCGAGAAAATTCGGCACCCCAAAATATAAGACACTTTGATAAAAATAAAGTTTCATTAATGCTACTTTTTCAATATTACCCTTTCCATATATTCTCTCTTTTTAATATTCTTTCATCAATAGAATATTAAATGAAAAGCATTATTAAAAGTTTATATTTTTGTCTTAAAAAAGTAAGGTTGTAAAAGTACATTTAATAAACTTTATTGGTATTTGTAATTTTGTCTAAAAGTGTCATATAATTTGGGACGGAGGGAGTAGTAGGTTTCAATAAATGAGAGGAGTAATGAAAACCTTGCATTCTCTTTGCCAAGACCCTGCCTCTCCTGGTGGGGCAAGACCAACATAAGCACCATTTGCTGGCATCAAATCTGAGCTGATGCACCTAGAGATAAAATTAGAATAGTTTTAATCCAGCTACCCATACAAGTATAAAAGAGCAACCACAGTCCTGCTGCAGCTCATTAATTGATTTACGTTCCTCATTCAACTCAGTAAATAAAAAAAAAATCCTTGATCCTTACAGATTTTTTTATTGTAAGAAAATCATGAATGTTGTGAATAGATGATAACTGTAGCTATAAGTTTGAAAATTTTCAAGAAGTAAAACCAAGTGAGAATGCCAACCACACAAACTCACCCAAAAATCTTATATAAAGGGGGGGGTAGTTTTAGATAACAGACTAAGGCTATACCGACTGCTTACCTGTCTAACACAAGTAGCCTACCACTAACATTACCCCGTTGATCTGACTTCAAAAAATCCTCTGAAGCTGGGAAAAAATATGGCCAACTTTCGACTTCAGTTGTCATCTGAATATTCATTCCCATTAGTCTATCTCAAAACCTCACCATTCAAAACCACTCTATCTATCCCATCACAAGACGAGTGCAAGAGTTCCATGGCAAACCTGAATTTTAGCATCCTCCCACAGCCAAAGTGTGTCATCACCAATTGATCCAGAGTTGAGATAAATAAAGACAGGACCAAAAACCTTCTTCCATGGTTCACCACCTCTAAATTTGGGATCTAAATCTTGTCCAGCATAGTGTGAACTAAGAAACATCTGATGATGCCAATGTACATTATGTTATGACATTCTAATCAGATAAGATCACATAATCTCAACTTGTGGTGGCACTCAGTTGGCAAGCCAAGTGGGGAAAATGTCATAATTGTCTAAGATCATTCACTTACAGCAAGTGTGGTAGGGCCAACATGTGAGGTCAAATTCTGCTTGAGGGGTCCACCAGAACGAAACTCATCACTGGGCGTGATCTGCCAGAATCCCACTGGTGGGTTGAAAGATATCCACCCATGAACTTGATTATCTATGTTTTTACATGAATATTGATACTTGTCATCCACCTGTGCATCAAGGAGTCATATCAAAACACCATGGATCACTTCACAGGCACTGAATCAATGAAAAGCAAACTTTCTTCATATCTTTTTCATAAGCTAATGAAAATGATCTTGGTGGCCCCTTAGAACTCAACTTGCCGGTTCCACCAACATATACTTCAATATAAAGTCTTAAAATATACTATTTCACAATTTAAGATGACAAAAGAAACAAATCATTGCAACAAGCACCTCGCCTTTGAGTTGTGGATTTTTGGGATTGACTAGCAGGACAGCTTCTGGGTAGGCCAAGGGCTGGCATCTTCCTGGTAACCGATCATCTGGAAGAGGCATAATCCTTTGCCTATTGTCTTCTATAGCCATGTAATTGAACCTACAAACTCATTTGTTAAATTGGTTGAACATCTAAAACTTTATAATAAAGACAGATTGCTTATTGTCTCATGTGGTCACCTTTGCTCATCTTTGAAATGTTATCATCATGAACATAAGTTACAGAGAAAAGTGCTAACATAAATTCTGCCCCTAGAATTGTATAATAAAATTGTTGTTTTTCTTGCCAAACTATCTCCAACTTTTATAGCATTATTTAGCAGTTAAATTTTAAACAAAGAAAGGTCCGTAAAGTCTATTTGAGCATACAAAATAACAAAACAAGTCAAGAATCAGAGACGCTATTTTCTTAAAACTGTATTCTCTTTTATAATCCTCTTTTTGTATAAATATAATCCATTTTTTTTATTACACAGTGTGGGTTGTAAAGCATATAAAGACAAATTTTTATATACTTGTCTTTTCTCAGCTTGAAAGTAATCCTCGTTTCACCAATGTCAAAATCTGGCCATCCAGCTAAGTGCTCATATATTGCATAAGAGTAGAAGCCTGATGAACCACGGCGCATTATAAATCTGAAATTCACCACAAGCAAATATTAATCCTTAAGTTAGCATTTCAATAAAAAGGAAATGATACACATAATCAGAGCAAGGACCTTTTATCAATATTTAAGGGAACAAACTTTCCCTCAAGAGAAGGATCCCACATTCGTGTGAATGAAAGCTCCACCTGTTCCTCGTTTTGAACTATAACTTTAAAACATGTTCCTTTTATCCTGGATCATAAATGAAAGCTTCGCATTTAGTTTGCACATAGTCATTTTAAGCAAGAATGAAAGCTTCGGATTTTTGAAGGGACACAATCTAAGAGAGAGGAGTTTGGGAACCAATTTTAGTTCTACTCTGGTGTGACTTTTTTTTTGGGGGGGGGGGGCTCCCATTTTAATCGGGGGTGTTTTGATACTTCTTTCTGAAGAATTTGACTTGATTGAAAATTTCATAGATTTCCAGGGCAAGAGTGACAAGCATTGCCGTACACATCAAAGATTCCTTTGCTTCCTGGTGCACTCCAAACAAGGTCCCAGTACCTGGTTATTAAATTGAATGCAAGATCAGACTTCCAGCTCAACGTATGTCAACTACCCTTGATTTTTACATAATCTTTCAGTCTCCTTTTCATAACATGAAGGTTAGAGCTCACTGTTCTATACAAGAGAAATAAAATTTTGTTTAGCAACCAAATATTCAGACCGCATACCCTCTATTAGTCTCCTTGTTAAGGACCTCAAGCAAATTGTCAACACCGTTATATCGAATCCCAGTAACAATTCCCTCAGGGTTTGATAAGGTAACTTGGAGTATGCCATTATCCATCACCACCTGCACGTAAGTCAAAATATGCACATGAAACAACAATATGACCTGAGACGCGTTGCTCATGAGAAGTTCCGTTTTGGCTGAAATAAAATCTAATGAAATCAAATCTTTAGAAGTGTCCTGTGCAGTATAAAGGTATAAATTGCACACAACTTAAAAAAAGTCTTTTTTATTTAAAACCTAGATTCTACAATGGAAAAATAGAATAAGAAACAAAAGAAAATGTAGAAATCAACTTACATGACTACCTTGAAGGTGCCATCGGACCCCTGGGATCGACATGTTGTGTCGTTGCTTGTCTTTACTAACTTGCTGTGATCAGTAAAATTATCAAGTCTAGGTCTAGAGTTCCAGCAGAATTTAAAGGAAACAATTTCATAAGATAAGAGAATCGATCGACCGATCACTTCTCTTCCACGTGAATTTTCAATGCATGACAATGTGATGCAATAAAAATTGCCATATAGAAGAAAGAAAAACGATTTTCAATATATATTTACGCTTCGTCTTCCAGCTATATCGGTATCTTTCATGAATTTCGCTTTCCTCTCTCAACAAAAACATGAAGCTAAAAAAGGTGGTCCATGATTCTTTCCTTGTCACGTGAAATAAATAGTTGAAATCTCCATTTAACTTGCTAGACAATGATTCAATTACAATTGAATTAAATTAGGTGATTTTAACAACCAAAAGAAATGGCCAGAAATTACAGGGAGCGAGGGGGTAAATTCGCCAAGAAATTAATACCTTTCATGATTTGTTAAAAGGAAAGTTGAAGAAAACGGAGCCACAGACGCCGCAGAAAGTATGGTGATGTCCCGGTTGTAGAAGCAGTGATAGCGTAACAGAAAGCGGCAGGAACACTACACAACACAGTGATGGCATGTAAGGTGTGCATAACCGAGTCCATGGGAAATAATTTTTCAAATAAAAACATGTCATCGCATTTTTTATTGTGAGAATTTCAGTCAGGGACCCTTAATAGAAAAGAGAACTCCAAATTTCCTGAAACTTCACTGGAGAATTTGTACGGAATTTTTATTGAATTTATAACAAAAATAATAAAATTACTCTTATTTAAATAAACAATATAAATAAATTATTTATTTTTATAGTTTATGTTATTCATTTATTTATAAAATATTATTCATTTCTTTACTTCGCTTGTTTATAATCATAATTTTATTTAATTTCATTCTGTGTTGGTTTTATAATAAGACAACATATAGTATGAAAACAAATAAATCATCTTATCATGAAATCAATACAAAATAAAATCAAATAAAATTAGAGTTACAAATAAGTGAAGTAAAGAAACGAATAATATTTTATAAATAAATAAATAACATACAATATGAAAATAAATAAATAATTTATTTAAATGAGGATAATTTTATCATTTTTGTCACAAATTAAATAAAAATTCTGTGCGGATCCTTCGATAACATTTCAAAAAATTTAGAATTCTCTTTTTCATTACATTCCGACAAAGATCCTTGACTGAAATTTTCCTTTTTAATTTTCCTCTTCGGTTGTGTGTGTGTGAGAGAGAGAGAGAGAGAGAGAGAGATTCCTTGTAGGATTTCAAATAAGTGATCCCCTCGTGTTTCTTTTTTATTTTTTTATTTTTTTTAAAAAACATTCTCATTGGATAGGGCCAAAATGAAATATTTTTACTTTTTTAGACATAAAAAGTAGGTCAGTTGATGGCAGAGAATATTTCCACTAAGATATTAACGAGTAAACATTTTGCAACTAAATGATTATGTTAGGTGATTTAAATTCCCAACCACTTTCCTAAATGACAAGTTTTACCCCCCACACTATTTTTGATAAGTTAAAATGAAATATTCTCATGTCATCATAACACAGTGCAATCCCAAAACAGTTTCATTATTATTAGACATGAATTATGGATTTTTTAATTATCATAATTTTATTAAAATATTAGGGTGCGTTGGGGAGTTTAAGATTGAATGAAAAGGAATGATCAATAATGAAATTGAGTGGAATATAATAAAATTTTTTATTGTTTGAAAATTTTGTGATGGCAAGAAATGGTTTTACATTACCATTATCATGAAATGAATAGAATGAAATGGTTTAAAAAATTTTCTTCCAATATTACCTATGTGGTTAAATTTAAAGAAAATAATAATGCTCATTAAATAATTATAATATTTATGCAACAAAATAATAATAAGAAGAAGAAGAAGAAGTAGAATTAATGGTCAAACAAGATACTCAAAAATTAAGAATAAAAACATAAAGCAAGTAATAGAGCTATGTAAGCAAACATTCTTGTTATACCAGAGGAAAATACAATAATCATAGTGTTGAAAGGAGACAGGAGGAGAGAGAGAAATATAACAGGAGATAGGGCTATGCACTATACTTAAATGCCCAATCAGCCTGACCCCACTCGAAACATTCAGGCACATAGGGTTAGGCATCAATAGGGATCAAACTTTAACTTGCTTAAACATGTGCAAGATTTTTTTAAATTTTTTGATAAATAATATTTATCTCAGGGCATTATTTTTTATTGAAAGTTATCATAAAATATATTTTTTTATGATCTTTCAGACATTTTTATCATTACAATTTTTAAATATATTTCAAAATTTAAAATTTATTTTTAACTTACTATTTATGTAAAAAAATTGATAATTGTTGTTCATCTAAACTTTTAAAAAATTATTTTTGATTCTAATATTAATTTTATGAAGAATATATTTTAAATAACAACAACAACAATATTTTTTCAAGGAAAACTTTTTTAAAATGTTTTTCAAGAGATACTTGTAAAAATATTTTTGAGACAATTGCGCAGCCTGATGTCCAACTACACATTAGGCTGGATATCGGGTAGAGATGACACTTGGCAACAGAGATGGATAAAGAATGAAAATAACATATAAATTTTTTTTATTAAAACAGGACATTTTATAAATAAAATAATTATATTGTAACACTCCATCTTTAACCTCCCAATTTAAGATATAAAAAATATTGAGCTATGAATGGCAAATGAGAATTTTCAGAAACCCTTACTTGCCACTCCATTATTCTTAAAAAAAAAAAAAAAACTCATTAATAATGAGGTAAATTTTTTAGCCATCTCATCCTATTCCATTCCATTCCATTCCAAAAAAAAAAAAAATCTCCCAAATATGGTGTTAAAATACTTTCCCTTCAATATCCAGCATTGGAATGCGTAATTTAATTGGCCAAAAAAAAAAAGAAAGCGTAATTTATTCTATCAACAAAAATATCAATTCATCGGTTATTGTGCTAGATCAGTCTATGCTTGCGCCGAAGTGCTGCAATAGAATAGCGAAGTATACATCTCAATATCTCATGAGTTCTGCTAAATACGAATAGATTATGCATATTTGAAGCACATTTACAAACCCCAGAAAACATGCTCAAAATCAGCGGCTAACGCAAATCACTGTGCTCCGTCTTCCTGTGGAACAAATAGATCCAACTAAAACAGCAATGCCAGTAACCGCTACAGTGAATAGAAGATGTCTTTTTGAGTAGTCATTCCGCGGTCGCCTTCTAGCATCTTCATCTCTTTCATTTGCCCTCGCATCCCTTCAGACAAGATAACAAGCAAATGGTTCAATCACACGAAATAGGTACCTTTCGTCAACATCACAAGTCACAACAGGTTGCATTGAAAGTTTTCACAGCCCCAGGATGCCAAAAGGAAGTATCCTTCTTCACTAATAATAGATTTCCAAAACAGAAGATTCACTTAACCTTGTAAAAATTTATAACAAGCCTTTCCGAACTCATTTACTTGGCTGGGAAAATCAAAGACAAATGTGGCTAAATATTCTCAAATATGATGAACTTATCGAACAGGTGTATCAAATATCAAATAGATGGTAATTAATTCAACATTCATATTGCATGTCCGTGCCACCGACATTACTCTCTCATCCATCTCCCATCCATATGAACTTGGGTTTTCACAATACCTTCCTCAGCCTTTTGCCCCAAATAAGGTTTAGAATTTCCATGTTACTTTCCTGGGAGCTGTGCTTGACCAGAAAAGTGCGAAAAGAGTCCAAAATGATTTAGCTGTCTCTTCTTTTATACATACATTTCCTAGCACTGGCCTAAAATGAAGTTACTGAAGCAGCAGCGGATGCTGACACTGTTAAAAAAGAAATGGCAAAAGAGCTCAAAAGGCTAAACTTCTAAAAATTGCGCTCTGTGATGTTCAGGCTTGAAATAATGCCCCAACTGCCCAAACAGGTCAAAGGACTCATGCGCATAATGAGGTTACCTAACATAAATCACTAACCAAGTAACCTTACCAAGCTTATGAGCTGCATACAAAAGACCGCATGCAATAGACTGCTTGCAATATCATAATGGGCTGCAGGTCAATTTTGCCCCTCAACTTTACTCGAAAAATCAATGAACACTTTAAACTTAACTGTGAATCAATTCCATCCTTTAACGTTATAAATACCCTCTCTCATTACCTTTTTGTTAAAAATGCTTAACATCTATTTGTCATCAGTAGGTTTCATTATTTTCTAATATTTTTTAACTATTTTTTATTGGATTAAGAGTCGTTTTTACCCTTCAATTTTTACTCAAAAGATCAGTAGACAACCTCAACTCAAATATTTTATAATAAAATAATATTTAAAAAATGTAATGTGAGGCTCATTGACAGCGAAGAGATGATGAGAAAACAGCAAAGTGATAAAGAAGGAAATCTTTGACATTAAATGACAAAGTCGACTCATAATTAAGTTTATGATACTTAATGACCCTTCGGGTAAAGTTAAGAGACCAAAAAAAAAAACTTAACCCTGTTATAATAATAACCATAAACACAACGGGTTTAATTTAGGAAGTACTGGTTATTTTTAGGTCTAAAAATCAAATAAAAGGAAAATTTGATAACAACCAACAAGAATGAAATTAAATGATGATATTTCCTACCTTGAAGATCCCATGATATTATCTGGGATGCTAGTGCACCTGGCTTCATGGTTGTATCTTTCACAGAGCCTAACATATCCGTTACAAAGTTGACAAAGTTCTGTTCGGTTGCCACATACTTCCTGAGAAATATGAAGATCATACTAAGATTAGCGCGAAAGTGCATATGCAACAACATGGAGAGATACAACCTCTAAATTTGTTGTTGGTGAACATACCTGATGCTCAGCCAGATCAACTGCTGGTAATGGGAACTCACAGAACTCACAAGTGACAATTCTCTGTGGGCAGCTTTCACCTATGTGGATTTCTAACATATTGCGCTCCATTATCTTATGGCACATTGAACAGGCAGCCTGCACAATGAACAACTCTCTTGGAAAACTAGTAACATGAAAATGAGACGCACATCTAACATCAAGAACTGCTTTGGTGCAACAAGAGAGCCAGGATGCCTGCATTGAAGATTTGGGGGTGGGGTGACACGTAGCAAGCTTCTCCGTCTCTTTTATTGTTAAAAAGAATGACCAGATGACTCATATATCCAGTAAGCCTCCATTCCAAGTTCTTTATTTCTTTTTTTCCCCTTTGATGATGGGTGTCCTCATTCCAAAAGCTCTAATCTTTAAGGATCCAAAGCTAGATATTATGTTACATGATACCATCACAAACGGCTGGACCAACAAGGCAATAACTCCGCACATGACATAGTTAGCTTAGCTGTAACAGAAATAGTTATTTAGTTAGTTAGGAGGGGATTAGTTGAGAATAACTAACTTGATGATACTCCCCTTAGCCTATGAATTGAGAATTCTCCATAATAAGGAGTTGATGATGCATTAACAAGCATTTTCTAGTTTCCTCAGTATGACTCTAGCATCAGATCAACTCTTGTGATTAAATATTGATCACAAGATTCACGGTATCACTTGAGCAGTTCTTGGAGCAAAACACATGTACACGAAGAGGAGCACGACAAACTTCAAGTAGAACATTGCTAAGGTGAAAAAGATTTTTCAGTCAGTCTGACATATCAAAGGTTTCATTGTCAATTCGGCTGCAAAAATTACACGGATGTTGACAAACATTTGTAGCCAAGGTCGAGGTACTGCATCCAGCACAAACAAGATAGCAATGGCCAATGGTCCTTAATTCAGATCATTCAACTGGATCTTCCATGGTAACAACTATTTGTTTCCAAAAAAACAATGTCGAATTGAGCTCCATAAATTCAATGATAGTGATTTCTGTGGATTGGTCCCTGATGCCAAGAGATTATTAACATTGACACACCCCAGCAGACTTGAAGATTCAGTTACTTTGCTTACACCTCAAAACGAAAGCATTGCTGGGGCACTCAAATTTCATTAAGAAGATGCTGGGAAGAGTATTTCAAGAACATAACAATTTCAGTGATGTGACTAAGGTGGGTGCCATGATGGAGATAAGGAACTTGAAGCAAGAAGACACTGTCACCAACCACCAAGATAAGTTGAGGAGCTCTTGACTAAAATAGAATTATCAAGAGTTTTATCTATAAGCTGTTCTATTGACTATTGTAGTGATCTGCTCTGGCATTCAAGCAGCCCAACACTATGTACTTAGCCGGTTAGACTGCCTTCAGGAAACCTCCATCAAATCCTTAAATATACAGGCCTCTGCCCCAATGAAAGGGAACCTGCTGAATTATCATCACCCATCCTGATATTCCCACCAAAGAACCCAATATAGTACCCAAAAAACCCCATCAGACAATTCAAACAACAACGAGGAAAATGGATGGGGAAAAAAAAGGCAAGTCCCCAGCTATTAGTGTCCAGAACAGAGGCCATGCCCGTGAGATTGTGTGTGGAAGAGGAAAGAGAATGGAGCAACAGAGAGGTGCATAAGCCTCTCATTGGATCAACACAAAGGGGCGTACAGGATGTGGGGACTTGATCTTTGAGATCATGTATTGAAGAGGAAGGGAAGGTAGCAATGGTCTTTTCAGAAGAGAATTTTTGGAAGAAGTTTGTTGTGCAGCTATTACTTCAAGAGCTACACATTTGACCATGAAAGTGTGGCAATCATGGACAAGAGATTAACAAGTTGCCCTTCTATAGTGGATCCAGAATGATAATACTTCAAGGCCCTGGGTTCATGTTGCCTATCAATAACATTTAAACCCTTTTTAAACCTGTGCACCATCAAACCCACACCCAGTGCATTTAATGGCTAATTGCATCCATTTTCAAAGTGACAAGCCTATTTACAAATTTTGGTCAAGTTACAAATCAGCCACGAACTTCCACCAAGACTTCGATTTTTGAACTGGTAGCAGCCAAATCAAGATTCAGGTCATTTACCTTGCAAATCCCAGCCTAACATGAGACAGATCCCTGTCTACACTTTGACGTACACACCAACTCTTGTCTTCCTATTCCCCCCATTTTACTTTATCTCCACATAACATGACCGTCATTGATTTTTCCACCACTTCCTTTGAATTTGAATCAGAAAGAAAAGAGAAAAAGGACAAAAATTTACATACCCGTGCATGTGTGTTTAAAAAGTGATCCTTGGAGTTTCTTTTTGGAATCATATCACCACAAATTGTGCATTTTTCAAGGTTCCGGAAGCAATGGGCGTAATGCAGAGCAATATTGACAGCAGGGATAGCACGATCACTGTAACATTACAAAGCAATTCATCAACAATTTCTGGACAAAGGCAATCAGAACACAAACAACTACACTTCGATGCAATAAACCACGTATAGGAGAAGAAAATCTTAAAAAAATTCTTGAATCATACAACGACATCGCAAAAATAGGCCAACAAATATACGGAAGCAAAAGTTCATAGCCGTCAGGCGATCCTTCAAGTCAAATTGCAGTTTTCCAACCGCCTTGATAGTTATGTAAAACTGTCCTAAGGGCCACTGCAGATTTAGAGGCACACAACCCATGAAGCGAGTATTCCCGAAATTTCCATCAAATTAAGTGATTTTAGCTCAAAATTCAGAAGGAAGCAAATCACAAATTCGTCAACTAATTTCAGGAAGGCATGTAAGCAGACCGGAAAAAAAAAATCTATGTTTACCAGTGAGCACATATACTAGTGGCGTCATCGGACACAGCGGCCATGCCGGAGGAGAGAAATCCCGAGGTCGTTCTGCGATTAAATCTTCAGAAAGCAGACGGGAAAAAAAATCGAGGGGCAATCAAGCATTTGCGTCCGCAGGAGGTGGGAGGGAGGGGGACAGACATAGGGATTTTGTCAAAACTGGAGGTCCATGTTATAAAGATAAGGGAAAAAAACAGGTCTGATGAGAAATCGATTGCTTCGGTTAACGACTTACATGAGGAATAAATTGGCATATTGAATACACTCTACTCCTGGCGGTCTAACTGCCGGTTTTGCCATGCGACTTAAAAAGGAAAAACTTGCATTTGGGCATTTGGCCATATAATTGAAAAGTAAAAATCAGTGCAAGGCGCGGTTGGCTGTGGATTTCAGTTAAATATATTTAATTATGAAAAAATAATTAATTATGTTATTAAGTATATAAAATTAATTAATATGATTGATTTCAGTTAAAACTGAAAAGTAAAATTGAAAATCAAGTAAAATTATGATTTTACAAAAATATATTCAAATATTACTATTACATGTTAAAATCAATTATAAATTTAAAATTATAATTTTTTTAAAATATCCAAACATTTTTATATATGTCAAAGCTAATTATAAACTTAAAATTACAGTTATCTTATAAACTACTATTTCCTAGTTTTTAATTCATATTTTTAATTATCCTTTTCTAAAAATTTATCCAAGAATTATAGGATAAATTATTGTTCAATTCATGTTTTTAGGTTTATAATTGATTTTGACACACACATATATATAAAGAGAGAAATGTTTTAATATTTTAAAGAAAAACATGATTTTTTTGTTTAAAATTGATTTTTGACATGTATCATTGTATTTGAATTTCTTAGAAAAGTATGATTTAAAGTACATAATTAATTTTGACATGTAATAGATGTATTTGAATATATTTTTATAAAACTATGATTTTAACTTGTAAAATTGATAAAAGAGATCATCCAAACAAGTGCCCAGTTGAAAAATTAAAACTTGTCCGATCAAAAATGTTGGGCCTGTTTGAAAACCTGTTCTAAAAATAATTTTTTATTCTCCAAAATAAGAAAATAAAAAAATTTGTTTGATAATATATTTTTATAAAGTGTTTTAGAGAATAAAAAAATAAAATATTGTTCTAGAGAACAGAAAAATAAAAATAACTTTTAGGTATTCTATTATTATTCAGAATAAAAAAGAATGAAAAAAATATTTATTTTTATTATTTTTTATTTTCATAACATATTTTATAAAACATCAATTCTTAAAATAATAAAATAAAAATAATTTTAAACAACCCATTATCTTTACTTGCTTTTTGTCTAGTGGTATTTTTCTCTTGTCCACCAGACCAGAGTTTGTCTTTTGCTTTTAAAAATTTATCTCGAAGAACTCCCTCAGTAAATTAACTTTACTTTCAACAGCCGTTTTCAATTTTTATATGACCTTTAATCAAATCTTTTTTCTATTCCTTCCTGACAGCGTCCGAAGCATCTTTTATGTAAAGTTGTTTGTTCCTCTCAAATAATTTTGGTATATAATTGTTTCGATGGTTTCAACATACTTCGTTATAATTAATAAAAAAGTTTAAGATTTGCTAATTTTTTATAAAAAATTAAGTTGATAAATTTTTTAATATATCTCTATTATATACATATATATATATATATTTATCTCTAACATTTAATGAGAGTTGAAAGAGAAATTTATAATAAAAAATTAATGATATGTTTTATAATTATGACAAAAAACATTTGTTTTGTCTATGCTTTATAGATAAGACAAAAGGAGGGAGCATGTATAAATCAATCACCGATGACCAATCATGTAATTAAAATGACAACTTATTCCTCTACTCTATTATTGCTCCCCGACTAACTGTTGTGTGAAACTGTGAATTCTTTCTTTCATTCTTTTTCTCTTTCTGTTTTTTCTGTTTTTGGAACCTTGCATTTCTGTCATTGAATTTGATATTTTGAACGTACTACTTAGAGACATGTTTGTTTGTTCCCCCCCCCCCCCACCATTTGCGACCAAATACATTCAGTAGAATATCAAGGTTTGTTAGTTTATCCCACTAGTCAATTAGATCTTAGGATGAATAGGGCTTATATTATGAAACTTTGCTAGAGAATTATAAAGAAGTCCAATTGTCTTTAGGTTCGTGTCCTGCGTGATAAATACAAGTGCAGTAATCCTACAATTTTCATGGTTTGCAAAACCAACTCTAGCTCTTACATAGTCCAATATGTGTAAAGTCTGGGATTGGTTCACTACTCACGTGGGATGGAAGGTAGGAAGAGGGGATCAAGTTTCTTTCTAGTATGATAAATGGTGTCCCCTCCCAGATCCCTTTATCAAATATGATTCATCTAATGCGAACTCCATCCTACATGCTAGAGTCTCTAATTTTTAGAATAATAATGGTTCCTAAAAAGTAGGCCAATTGTGCAGATATCTTTATTTAAAAGTCATCAAACTTATCATTATTGTGCAGCCTCCGAGCTCTAATATAGACAATGATGTTATATGCTGGAGACGTTCAAATGATGGCAACTTCTCTATCAAAATTGCTCACAAGGCCATAAAAAATCACCGTGACACCATTAGCTCTGAAATTTGGTCTAAAATTTGAAAATGGCTTACTTATAAGAAAATTAAATCCTTTCTCTAGAAAGCAGCTTGGGATTGACTTCAACCTAAAATATCATGTTTTAATGGCTTCTCTCAAAACTTGCCCTTTTGGTTGTAATTCTTTGGATTCCACCACTTATATCTTAAGAGATTGCAAAAGATCTAAAGAAGTTTGGTTAAAATTAGTTAAACAAACTAAACTAAACACTTTCTTTTCTCTATCTTTACAGGAGTGGATTCTTTAGAATGCAAAAAGAGAAGTAGGTAATGCAAGATCACATAATATCCCTTGACAAAAGCTCTTCGCTTACATGTATTGGAATATTAGGAAAGAGAGATGTAAAATCATTTACTTTGAAGATGATATCCATGAGAGAGACATTACCTTCACCAGCATACAAGATATTCTCAATGATCAATACCTCTAATTTAGAATCAATTTTTTGACTCAACAATGTGATAGAACAAAGACCAAATGATTCCCCCTGAAAAAGATTATGTAAAACTTGATATAGATAGCTCTGTTAACAATTAAGGGGCTGCTTCTTATGGTGGTCCCATTCAAGATAATCACAGCAATTGGATTAAAGGCTTCTCTAACTTTTTTGGTTACCATCCCAGCACGGCAACTGAACTTATGGGCATTCTTGAAGGATTCAGTATTTGCTGGGCTGAGAAGTTTAATAGAGTTAATGTCTACTTGAATTTTACTGAAGCAATTATGCTCATATGCAATGAGTTTTCTATTACTCATCCGCTTGTTGCAACTATTAACAAAATTAAAGAACTTCGTACGCATGATTGGTCAGTCACTTTTGATCACATTTTCAAAGAGGCTAACAAATGCGCAGATTGAATGACCTATCAAGCCTTTCCCGACAACTCAATTGTTTAGATTTTTGATAGTCCACCTTCTAGTTGTAGTAACTTTTTGTATGCTGATATGATTTAATATGTTTATTTGCACAATTTTTTTGTGGCCTTCTATTAAAAAAAAAATGCCAGTGTTTATAAAGCTGGGCCAGCCAGGTAAGTCATCGTCTCAATTTAACCGGGCTTGTTATAGGCATAAGTTTGGGCTTACTATGAACACAGTTCAATTTTGCGTGGATGTCTAAATTTTTCGCAATGATAAGCCCATTCGATATAATATATTTAAAAAGAATGAAAAATATTTTTGTATGGTATAGAAATAAATGAAAGTATTTTTACTTATGTCTTTGGCAAGATTAAAATATAAGGGATTGAATTTCACTACCATGATGGAGAAATAATTGTCAACAGACTCCAAATAAGGGAAAACGTGACAGATTAAGGAGCAGCAGGAATTATGGGCAAAGGAGGAGGAATAGTAAAGTGGGATCTGGTAATTGAATACAAAATATGTTTACATTAGGCGGTCTCATACAAAACGATCAAGGCAACTAGATTAAAGGCTTCTCCAAATATCTTGGATACCACCGAAATACAGTTGCTGAACTTATGGGCATCCTGGAAGGACTTACTATCTACTGGGCTGAAAAGTTTAACAAAATCAATGTCTACTCTGACTTAATTGAAGCTCTATCATTAATCCGTAATGAGTTATCTACCAATCACTCTCTCTCTACCACTATCAATGATATCAGAGATCTTATTATGTGAGATTGGACTGTCACTTTTGATCACATTTTTAGAGAAGCAAACATTTACGCTGACTAGTGGTCCCACCAAGTCTCTATCGATAATTTTAATGTATTTATTTTTAACACTACGCCCCTAGGTTGTAGGGACCTTTTGTACGCTGACATGACTCAACGAGTTAATTAGCATGGTCTTTCTGTAGCCTGCCATTCAAAAAAAAAATTATTTACATTAAAGGACTCTAGAATCACAAGAGTATTTCAATCATTCCATAGGACTCGCGAGTACTCACAGTCCGTGTGTGATGTGAAGCTTTAGAATAATTCTCAATCTCCTTTTCCCCCTTTCTTTTGGGACAAACACCTCATCTTAGTTTATTACTTCCTGGGTCCTGGTTATTTTCTGTAAATTACTTTGATTAATTAGTTTGACAAATTTTCCACTCTATTTAATATTTATCTCTCACATTTAATACTTCCATTAAAAAGAGAGTATTTTATAGAAAGTGACGGATATTTTTTACACAAAAATGTCACGTGATTAATTTAACCACTTTTCTTAATTCTCATAAATTAGTAAATAATTCTTAAATCTATAATGCTCACATAGGAGAGATTAGAAGGTACATCGCTTCATTTGACAGCAATACAAGATTCGTTAGTGTATACTCGTGCTAGACAAGGCAGCACATCCATTACTATTTCTGAAGATAAACACTCTATATTGACATCGTGTTCTTACTTTTTTTTCAAAAAAAAAACACGGACTCTGTGTGTACTTTACTCAATAAAATATAACAATTAAAAATAATACTCCGTCTATTTGTATTTATAATTTACTTTTAGTATTTTCATTAAAAAAAAACATCATTACTCTGTTTAAAAATTTAATAAATTTTTAACCTTATTTTTATTAAATATATATACTTTAAGCATGAAATACTATAACATTATTTAATAACATTTCTAACGATAAATATTAACAATATCATTAAAGTGTTCTGTAAACAAGATTAAAATATATATTCTTGTTATTCTGTAAATAAAATTAGAGGAATATATAGGCAATACTTGAAAAAATTACTAATGCCAGCGGACACTATTTTTCTTTTCCAATAACATGCCATGTATTTACTAAAAGTTGTATGAGAAAGCAAAAGTTCTGTGACATTTATTTTGTGATATATCCATCATTAACATTCCCCCAGAAAAATCTCATGAGCAATTTAAATTTGAAATACGACAAGTGGCATGATAATATTAATTTTTCTCAACAGAAGCTGCTTTGGAACCCTCCTAAATTCTAAGCTCCGTGTCGAAATTAAAGCAGTCTGCCGCTGGGATATTGGATTTCACGACCATCGATATAATTTGATAACCACATGCCGGAGAAGTGTGTGCTCAGAGTTTGACACTGTTCACGCGGTGGCTAGTTATGGTTCTTGGCATGTAAAGAATACGAGTTTAGCAGCAATATCGTTAATTTCATTAATAAAACATTACGTATAGTTCTTATAAAATAGGCTTATTTATAAATAAATTTTATAAAATTTAAAACCACAGAGTTCTCTTAGGATTTGAAACATAATTTAAAATTAATGTACAAATTAAAGACAATATTATCTTTACTTATTGGGTATGTGAAATTACATTATAAAAAGTTAAAATCATAATTATAAATTACTGAATAAATAGTTATAAATAATTAGTATTAAATATTATTAGTAATGCATAATAAATATAACCATTCGATATATAAAGTCAGAATGATAATTGTAAATTTTTTATGAAATAATTATGAACTTGATTAATGTAACATATTTTTACACTACTACAAAAGTGAGCATATTTGACACTTATTTTAATTTATAAATGATGGTTATTAATCATCATATATGAACCCATCATTTATAGAGGAACCCTTTATTTGACAGTTATTTAATCATGAATATTTCCCTACTTATTTGACAGTTATTCAAATGACCATCAAGTATATCCTCACATATATGATGATTATCACCAAATATGCCCCTACTTATTTGACGGTTATTCAAATAATCGTTAAATATGTCCCTGCTTATTTAACAGTTATTTACTGTCAAATATTAGCAAGGCTTTTTTACAATTATTTCAATTAATTTTAATTATCTTTACCAATTTTGTTTTTATTATTCATTTCAATACACACTAATAGATAAATAATAGCAAGGGAACAATGTAAAAAATATTTTATTACTAAAATTTAAACGTCCAATATATTATAAATAAACATCATAGGATTGACGAGAGATCAATCACTTAAACACTCACTATACAAAAATATTATCCTATAAACTATATCAACAAAAAGTTCTTAACAATACATGAAAGCACTAAAAAGATCTTCAAGTTATTGATCAAGCTCCATCGTTCAAGCTACTTTCTCAGTCTCTCTTTATGCCGTACTGTTAGCATATGTGAAAAATAAGCCTGACATAGCAATAAACAAAAATGCTGTGTAAATATCCCATGTAACCAATGAACAAGAAAAATGAAATGAGATATGTAAAGTTATTTACATATTTTAATCTCATTTTGCACAAATGTAAAATATATTTGTAAAGTTTACTGCCATGATGCATTATTGAATCACAAATTTCTCCACAAAATTAATGTAGGTCTAATGGAAATAAAATAAGAAGTAGAATAATTAAAATAACATACATGATGGTTCAATGCCAAAGTAGTTGAATACTCTCACTTTGCATTCAACTGAGTAGTGGTGCACCCAGCACAGAATAGAACACATGCATCCCACTGAATCTCACTTAACCTGAAATATAAAATTAAATCAGAAGATAATCCTGTTATAACAATAAAAAATTGCCATATAAATATCTAACATAACCAATGAACAAGAAAAATGAGGTAAATAATATATAACGGGTAAAGTTATAATAGTGCTCCAAATTTAGGTAACAGAGGACAATTTACAAAACTAGTTCAATGCTATCAAACATGTAAAGTATACATCACAAAACAAGGCCTGATCCTCTTCACATTTCTTTCTTTTAGCTTTTAGGCCTGGTTGAAGTCCTCATCCAATGGTAGGGGAATAGGTTGCAAATTGAAAAATTAAATTCAACGCTAAAACTGAACAACTCTAACATTAAGAATTTAATGGTGACTATTTACACGTACCAACTACTGAAAAGGTTCAATATAAGAGAAGTCAACTGAATGCATGAAGAAGCAAACCTCTCCCCATTAAATTTCTTATAATTCACATACCAAGTGGTTTTGCTGTGCAGGCAAAATCACAAATTGCCTCATTGGTCTCTCCAAGTGAAGTTTGATATGTCTTGTTTTCATTTGCAGTGACACTATTAGTTACCACCTCCAATAATCAAAATGAAACCTATGGATTTTATCTTATGATTTTCTCTAGCTAGTATAAGTAAACTTTATGACTTACGGAGTTAAGATACACAAAGATGAGCCCAAACCAGAATTCACACTAATCCAACTTTATGATTTACTGCAGCGAAATTCGTGCTAATCCAATCATCCACTCTGTTTTCATTATTCTCACAAGTATGCCAATATCTGTCATCCACGTAAACCAACATCATGTCCATATTATTCATATGAATTTTATAATCAACCCACAGCAAAAAATATTGTACAGGAACAGATTCAAATTAGGATATGCTCAATCACCCAAAAAGGGTGGGGGGGGGGGAGAAAGAGGGAGTAAATTATGAGAGTAAATTAAAGTGACCCGTTATACATGGTAGAAGTAAGCAGCAAAAAAGTGAAAGAATAAATACAATATATATGTAAAAAGGACGACATAATTAGAATGCACTTCTGGCATAACATGCATAATTTAAATGTTGCATTCTTACCCTTTTTAAAAAAAAAAATTGTTGAAAGACGCATGAAGCTTTGAATGAAAACAAGAGTAGAAGGAACATTTGCAAGGAATCTAGACCAATACATGAATAGCAAACCAGAAACAAGTCTTGCAAAAGTAAAAAGACATATACAAAGTGAAATTTAGTTATAAACCTTAAAGATTATCAATAACATCTAATTTGTGTAATCTCTACAATGAAGATTTTACCTTTTATTTTTCCCTCTCCAGTGACTTAATTCAACGATGTTGCACAGAGAAATATGAATACTGTGATCGGAATTTGAGAGAGAAAAGAAGAACACAGAAAACTGTGAAGCAGAAGAATGAATATGAGCAATGGAAAAATAATCAAAACAGAACAAGAAACAAACCTAGGATGCAGCAATCCACCTTCTTGAAAGGCATATCTAGAAACCTCAATACTCTATAATCAAACCCAACAAAACTTAATCCACCTAAATATGAATTTAGGGAAAGTTAATTCAGAATACTAAAACAGAACAAGAAACGAACCCACCTTCTCGACAGCAAGGAGGATACACTATAGCTTCAAAATCCAACGACATTGAGAGGTCTCCAATGGCCGCAAATAAGGAGGCTTCTTGGGCAGCGATTGTTTCACCTTACCTCCAGCATCTTGCTCTTTCTCTTCATGTCCTCCTTCATGGGTACCGAGTGGTGTGATTTTGAAGTGAGGGAGCGAGTTTAAGGGTATTGTGGTAGCATATAGAGCCCTGACAGGTGGTCGAGAGAAGGACCCAGAGTGATTTGCGAGAGCTCGAACCCTAATCTTATCATCCTCATACATTTTGGAAACACCGAGCTTGTTCGAAACATTATGGCAGTGATGCAACGACAAGAGAGAAACGGTACGAGGGCGGTGGTGTGACAGTGACGGAGTGAAGAAGAGGGGAGGGCTCGAGATCGGTGAGGGTAAAGGAAAGTGCTATCGAGGGATTAAAGGGATGAGCTTCGAATGAGAGAGGATAGTTTGACCGTTAGATAAAAAAACCATCAAATATATTTTTAAAACAGAACATTTATCCAACGGTTGTCAAATTTAACCCATCAAATATTTTTTAAAAAAAATATTATAATTTTTTTTTAAATTCATCAGTTATGATTTTTAATCATCAATATATTTATCTAATATTTGACAGTTTTATACATAACCATTAAATAAATATTTCTTCAACTTCCGCCTTCATTTATATGATGTTTAATTATTTAACTGTCAAATTTTAAGTATCAAAAAAGGTTATTTTTGTAGTAATATTAATAGAGGTATTATTATCTTTACACTTTAATTGCAATCAAGTCCTAAGAGATTTGAATGTTGTTTTTAAATTGTATCAAATTTATTTATAAATAAATTTGATTTGCAGAACCTAATACATTTTTTTCCTTGTTAAAAAGATGAGGAAATTTTATTCCATGGAATATGATCAGTATAGCTTTTTTTTTTAATTAGTCTAAAGATTCAGTATCCGATGAACTTTTAATTCGCGCCATGTTGTGTCAAGAAAAATGTAAATATGTGCTTTTATTATTAGGCCTGTGTATATATCTACCACTACTACAGAATATATCTTTAGGAGCGGGTATTTAGGAGCGCTTCTTTAAAAAGCGCTCTAAAATGTAAATGCGGAATTTACCGGAGCGCTTTTTTAGAAAAGCGCTCCTGTATGTCAGGGCTTTTCAATAAGATAATGCTCCTAATTAATATAAATAAAATATTATAAGAAATTTAAAAAGACCTTCGGGAGCGCTCGTAGTTAAGCGCTCCGGAAGACTATCTTCCGGAGCGCTCTTCAAAGAGTGCTCCGAAAGAGCTCATCTTTCGGAGCGCTCTTGGAATGAGCGCTCCGAAAGAGCTCATCTTTCGGAGCGCTCTTTTAATAAGCGCTCCGAAAGAGTTATTCTTCCGGAGCGCTCGTCAAAGAGCGCTCCGAAAGAGAGATCTTCCGGAGCGCTCTTTGAAGAGCGCTCCGGAAGACCACCTCTTCCGGAGCGCTCATGAAATGAGCGCTCTGGAAGAGGTGGTCTTTTATATCTCTGCCTCCCGTCAGTTTTCTTTTCCCTATTTATGAGTTTCTTTCAAACCTCTCTCATTTGCTGAGGTTGTGCGTTCCCAACGAGTTCTAGATCATCGCTGTATCAGTCTATCTTCCATCGCTGTTCACTGTTCCAGATCGTCGTCCGCCGCTGTTCGCTATTCCAGATCGTCGTTTGCCACTGTTTGCTGTTCCAAATCATCGTCTGCTGCTGTTCGTTGTTCCAGATTAGTGTTCATCACTGTTTGTTCATTTCTGTGTCATGTCGCGCCATCTGTCTCTGTTTTTGCGCTGCCGTCGCCGTCACCGCCATCTCATGCATCACTATTCTAGATCTACATTGCTGTTCCAGATTTGTGCGGCTGCTGTACACCGGAGGAAGCGACACCATGAAGACCTCCGTTGTAGCCGTGTGTCATTGTTGTACAGCCGAGGAAGCAACGCTGCAAAGACCTCCGCTACTGCCGTGAAGACTTCCGTTTTCTGCCGTGAAGACTACACTGTGAAGGTATTTTTTAATAATTAATTTATAATGTAATATATTGATATATTTATATATATTTGAGAATAAATTTCATATATATTTTTTTAATAATCAATATTATAGATAATATATGAATTGGAGTTATTTATATTACAATTATGGAGTATTTGTAGTTGATAATTAGATTAAAGTTGAGGAAACTACTTGAACATTTTTATTTTATTTATGAAATATACTTTTAAGGGAGATTATTGTTATTAATTAAATTACAATTGATTGACAGAATTTAGATGCATTATGCTACTAAATTTTTATTTGGATGAATTAATTTTTTGAGTTTAAATGTATTGTGTTGTGGAATTTGATTGTTTGATCATTTGGGAGGTTCTTCTTTTAAGGAAGATGTTGTTGAATTTTTTTTATAGAAATCTAAGTCTTTTGTTTATTGAATTTTGATAATCATATTAGTGATATGGATCATAAGTAGATGTCGGCTAATCAACTATCTAGAGAATATTGGGATGGTGTGGATGAATTCATTGAATTTGCATTTTGTTGTGATCAAGACCCCCTTGGAGTCATATGTCCTTGTTTGAAATGTTGCTATGGAAAAAGAGTAAAGCTAATAAAATTGAAAGATCATTTAATCTGTAATGGGATTGATCCAACTTATACTTGTTGAACCATGCATGGGGAGACAAGGAATGATGCAAATGATTGGAGGGATAGTGCGAGCTACTCAACATTTGATCGTGATAATGGGACATATGATGTTGACCGTCTTGATGAAATGATTCATATATATAACTTCATCGCTGAAGTATTTTAAATTAAGTTAGAATTTATTTTCACCATATTTTGATAATGACATCTTTTATTATTTTATAGGTACCTACACAATTACAAGGTTGGGAGTGTGGATACTATGTTATGAAGTTTATGAGAGAAGTAATCACATAACAAGAGTTGATCATTCCTGAAAATGTAAGTCAAAAACTTTAAAATTAAGTTGATATAATGTTAATTCCTTATATATTGCTTTCATATCTTGTGTAGTATTTTGTTGGAGTAAGATGTTCGTATTTTACTATGGAGCAAATAGAAGATTTAGTTGAAGAGTTGTTAGAATATATTATTGGCTGTTTATGATAGAAAGTTAGATTTCAATGTTAGAAAAATAACAATAGTTTCATTTGTTAGGCTTGTTAGAAATTAAACTAGGTTAGTTAGGAAATTAAAATTTTTGTATCAGTTTCAAATTCTTTTCTTGTATATAAATTTTTATGTTAATATTATTTTTAAATTAGTTTTTGATATTATGATTTGTCATTATTAAAGAGACGTAAAAGGAGAAATTTCAAAAAATCTGATTTAAAAAAAATTAAAGTAATATACGGGAGCGCTCATTTGAAAAGCGCTCCTGTAAAGTAACATACAGGAGCGCTCTTCCAGAGAGCGCTCCTATATGGTTCATACGGGAGCGCTCTTTATAAAAGCGCTCCGGTATGGTTGCATACGGGAGCTCTCTTGTAAAGAGCGCTCCCGTATGTAGCTCCCTTACAGGAGCGCTTTTCGAAAAGCGCTCCCGTATAGCGTATATATAGGAGCGCTTTTTTTAAGCGCTCCTATACATTTCGGAGCGCTCGATATGAGAGCGCTTCAAAAGCGCTCCCTAAAGTAAAAAAAAAGCACTCCTGTAAACTTATTTTGTAGCAGTATACGTTAATTGCAACAAACACTATTATAATTAAAAATGCATGTATTATGATTACAAGTGGCGTGGACAGGCACAACTGAGATGAGGCATGGATAGAATCTGGGAGTTCACACTCTTTTTTTCTTTTCTTTTTTTTTTAATGCATGTTGTGAATAATATTATCGTGTATATTCAGAGATTTTTATATGCTAGTGGTTCCAATAATAATAAGGAGCGGGAGAAAGGGTACCATCGGGGCCACGTGTATCATGCAAGCATGCACGTGGCCGGCCTCAAATGTAGTCACATAAAAGAAGGAATAAAGAGGAACAAGAGGAGCCTGCTAATCGCCTAGCATAACAAAAGTCAATAATTATCAATAAATATTTGCTCTACTAAAATGGACCATGACAGTTTAAGTACCGTTTTACGTTTGAGTCTATGCAAACATAGAAAACGCTTTTAAAAAAGTCACTTCTAATTATTTCGACAATGATCGAATTTGACATAATCTCAAATAACTATATAAAATTATAAAAGATTAAAAGACATTTTTACTCTTATAACATTTTGCTTTTCAACATTTTAAAAAGGTGCATTGCAGATAAACCATTTAAAAAATTAATTTTAACCATCAGTTAATCAAAAAAATTATAAAAAAGATTTAAAAATTATAAAAAATGGCTTATAAAATTACATAAGTATTCTATAAAAAATTAACACAAATTAAGTCATCCATGGTACATAGTAAACAAAAGAATATGATTGTTATTTTTTACCCTTATAAAAAGCTAAACTATGATTTTGACAGATTATTATTGCAGGGATTCTGTAATATTTTAGATTATTTTTGTAATTTTTTAATTAACCAACAATAAAAATTAATTTTTTTAATAAATAGGACACTTAGTGCATTATTTTTAAATATTGAAGGATAAAATTATATCACATATAAATTTAAAATAACAAACACTCTTGAGCGAATTGTTGAAAAGTAAAAATACTCCTTAATACTACAAAAATTAAGGACAAACTTCCTTTTCAAAGTTTAAATAAAGTTGCATAACACAGATCTCCCGCTTATTTTTTACAATTCAACTTCCATCTCCTCATTTGCTAGCTAATTATTAAATACTTTTTTTGTCAAAAAATATAAGACATTTGTAACTAAATCTCACTCTTAATAAAATAGTTACTTATTTTTAAATTAACTCTATATTTTTATATTTATTTCTATTTAATATGATAGTATTTTATCTTAAAATTAATATAAAGTGATCTATTTAATATGGGCACTTCTAAAAAAGAGAGCAAATATTATACTTTAAAAAACTCAAAAAACACTTTATATTTTTTAATGAATAAAGTTACGTGTTTTGAATCAAAATAACTCTCTTTAGCAGACGTCGTTTAAAAATTATTTACATTTAGATTGCCAAAAGATGATTTTAATGCATATATTCTAAAACCCCCTTCTCTTATTTCAAGTTTAGATATAATCATACAAAGTTCTTTACATAGTACTTTACTTAAAAATTTAAATATACAAGTGGCTTAAAATAATTTTTCAAAGGCATATGCATAAAAAATGCCATGAATTAGGTTTTTTGTCAAACAATAATGAATTAATCGCATCCTTTTCAAAGGAGAAATATTCAAGTTATATGAATATATACATGAATTTTAAATTACCCGTTCAAGCATTCATTCAAGTCGCAACTCATGACCGTGCTGCAGTGGCATGAAATGCTCTGATAATCAAAAGTCGAATATTTCGGTTTTCGAAGCCCCATGTCAGAATCAAGCCAGCGAAAAAAGGGTGGGTGGATGATAGAAAAATTTTAAAAATATTCATTAATTCAAATTATATTTTAAATATTAAATTTTAAAAATTTATTTAATTTTATAATTCAGTTGTAATAAATTTATAATTTATACTTTAAATTTTAATAAAAAATAATTTTATAATTTTTCAACTACGTTAAAATTTAAAACATAAATTATAAATTAATTATAAAATAATTAAAAAATTAAAATATTAAGTTATAAATTTTTAAAATTTAATAATTAAAATTCAATTTAAATTAATTGCTACTTTTATGATCTTTTTGTTATTCTTCCGAGAAGGTTTCATACCAGAACGGGAGAGGCACAGTCCCCGATAAACCTGATCGGGAAACCTTAAAAAAAATAGAAAATGGAAGTCGCTTTTGAACTTTCATTTTCCATTTCCATCCCTCGCACAAAAGAGTGACACGTGCTCCTTTATTTCATCCTACTTTGGATGACGAGCACTTGTGGAGTTGTTGCGCGTTGCTACTGATTGGGAATCACTTGACGCGCCTGCCCGCCCTTCATGCCAGTACCTAAATAACGGTGGATGATATTTCACCTGTATTTTAAATTCTTTTATTAGAATCAATAAATGATATTTAACTTATTAAATATATTTTAAAATAAAATTCAATTTTATCCAATTAAAAATAGGAAGGCAAAGAGGAAAAATATATAATGAATCATAAAAATAAATTTTTAGATATAAGTAAAGGACCCTACATATGTCTTATATTAAAAAAATTCCTTAAAAAAAAGTGCTCTGTTATAAGGATTGGAAAGAGTACCTCTGTTTCCTTAAAACTAAGTTACTATCCATAATATCGAGGTATTCTTCAAAAATCTTGTTTTATTTTAAAAATAAGGTATTATATAATGTTTAATTCTGAATTTAAAAAATCAATTAAAATATTAGTTATGATTATCAAGGCACTGTATATAAGATATTTTATTATATAATATACTCTCTCTGCCGCATGTCATAAAACAATTTTGAAAGTATTTGTTATCTCAAAAATATCAAACAATTTGATAAAAGCAAGGTTTCATTGATGATAATTTCTAATGTTACCTTTCAAGTGAATAAATAATTAAAATAATACTGTAGTGTATTAATAATTAAGTGTGTATGGACTTTTTTAAAGTTTTATAAATTTGTTTTGAACATGTAAGTTGGTAAAGTGTCACTGCTAAGCCACATTGATATGAGTAATATTGTATCAAATTGTCTTTTACTTTTTTAGATTATTATTAGAAGGTACTTTCAATTATTCTATATATTTTTTAAAAAGTATTTTTTCTTGATATTATAAAAAAATGACATGTCATTTTATTTTTACGTTAGCTATATTAAATACCTCTGGGTTAATCAAAAAATGGTGAAATAGAAAAAATAATTTAATTATTATAAGATATTTTATATTTTTAATTAAAAAATTATTTTCATGATGTGCTCTACAAATAGGATGAGAGGAAGTTATTTGGGAAAGAGAGTAATTAAAAAATACATAGTTTTCTTTAAAAAAAACAATATTTCTACTAATATTCTTTTTGAACAAGATCAAAACAAAAAATAACGTCAGTAGACTGTAGTCTACTTTTTTCTTTTTCCCTAGCAAGGAGGCTCCGTAGTCTCTTAAAAAGTTAGAACATGAAAGAGCCATTCTGACGCACCAAGTGGATTAAATTGTGGACCACTTGCGTTGCTGCCACTCCAGAGCGCTTGAAAACACGAACAACTTAAGTAAAATGTACAGTATTATCTATCTGACTAAAAGCTTAGAAAATTTAAATAATTTGGAGACTTTTATGGTAGTCTACTAATCTGAAGTATCCAATTCTTTCAGTAAATTTTCATCCTTCATTTTCTTTTAAATTTCTTTCCAGCGGCTAGCGGCCTTGCCTCTCAGGGACACATCGGGGATTTTACGGACACTGGACCCGATTAATTGAAAAAGCGGCATTTCCTTAAAAAGCATCTTTGGCATGCGTATTCGTACTTCCACACGTCAGTCGCGGATATGGCTGTTGGCTCCACTTTCAAAAGGAATAAAATTGGCCAATCGTCTGACGAGTATCAGAGCCTGATTGGGCCACGTACTCCGATCTAGAAAACCAGTTTCGGATTTCCACGAGCCCAACGGCGGTTTTCCTCCTCCGGCGAAGCGGTATTGTATTCTTTCCTTTTATAGAGATCTTTGTCGCCGAATGCTGATGTGAATTCAATTCGCTCATCAGTACGGTTGCGCAGGCTTTCTTGCCAGTAAGAGCTGGCTCTCTCCCCTCACTCTCTTTCGCTTTTTTTTTAACCTTTTCCCTTCTCGATTCTAACTGTCTTTATCTAAAAATCAATTTGTTTCGTGCGTCGTTAGCTTTTCCATCCGAACATGAGTTTGCGAGAAAAATTATAACCAACTGATGAACAATTTTTCCATCCATATTTTGATTTCCCCCTTATTCATAAAAATTCTGTTCCGTAGTCAGCCGCCTTTCTCACAGAGATTAACAATTTTAGTTTTAAAAATGCATCCAGTTAGGGTTTACTGGTATGGGGAGAGGGAAGATCGTGATAAGGAGAATCGACAATTCGACGAGCAGGCAGGTGACATTCTCGAAGCGAAGGAATGGTTTGCTGAAGAAGGCGAAGGAGTTAGCGATACTGTGCGACGCCGAGGTTGGAGTAATCGTCTTCTCCAGCACTGGTAAACTCTACGACTTCGCCAACACCAGGTGCTCCCTAACATCTTAGATCTGCTCCTTGCTTTGATGATTCGTTCCTTCTCTCTTAAAAAATGAATCGTCATTGTTGATATGCTACGAAATCATTGTTGAAGATGAGCATGCTGGTATTCTGATTTTGTTCTTTCGTACGGTGAATGTAATGATTAATTACATAGGACTAGAGCTAACTTCATAGAACTTTGATCTGATATGCGGTTGACTGGTTGAGAGCTTTGTTCTTTTTCAATCTGCACTTAGTTTCAATGGGTGAGAGTTTATAGAAGGAGGCAGGAGAACAGTTTTAGAAATTTTGAATAAGTTGAAATCTTGAAGTCCGATCCCATGGAAGAAGATTGGGGTCAGAGAAACCTCTCCTACTGTTTTTAAAAGAAATACTATAGAATAGAGTGTGTCCAGTTTGAGAACAATGTTCGTGATCGGAAACGCTCAGAGACTATTGCGCATTATTATATCATATGGCATCCAGCTATGACAATAATAATATTGTCTGTAAGACCATGAGGATAAGATGTTCGCTGTTAAGACCATGTGAAGAATATTGGCGTCATAAGATAGCGTGGAACTTGCCCTTGGAAGTTTAGATGAGTTCACGGTAGCGTAGGACTGTAGGATTGAGTTTATTAGCATCTGTGAATTGACATGGAAGTATATAGTTTCTAATCGAGGGGATAACTTACCTTGTTGTGAATATTTGTGTGTTTGCTAGTCGCGAAAGTGCTGTGGACTAGGTTAAATGAGTTCTGCTTATTGTTCAAGATTGATTGTAACATGATGTTATTAATTAAGTACTTTAGTCTCAATCGTACGTCCTTGATGAAAATACTTTCGGTTATCATTTAGAGGTATTTTAGCATTTTAGACTTTCAAAAAATTGCTAATCTGGATGAGCAAAAATATGAAAATATATAAGATTTCTTACCATAACCATATAGCATGAGTGTTTGCAGGACAAAATAGGACCAAAACAACTCTATCTCAAAAAATAGATGGAATTGAATTTGTATTCTATGTCTAGTTTTAAAAATTGTCCTGTCTTGTTTAAGAGCAGGATAGGATTAAAATGTCCAGGTAAAACAAATAAAAGTGAAAAGGAGACATGAATAACAATATTTATCAACTTATACATAACAATATGAGTACATAAATTTAATTATTGAGTTATAACAACTATAATTTAAAGTAAAAAAATATAATCACAATTTAAAATTAAGTACAAAATCATTACAAATAACCTCCAAGTACAACAATAACAAAATCATTGACTTACACAATTTAAACTAGCTAAGCACAACATCAAGTAATTAATTCTTCCTTTTTAATTGAAATATTTGAAGTTGTTGCACATTAATAAAAAATATACATGTAAAGTATTAACAAATATATATATATATATATATATTGAATAAATAAACTATTACATATTAATATAAAAAATAATATATATATATATATATATATATATCAGGAAAGGATGAGATGTTTCAAAGGTAGTTGTGGGTCTCGTTTTATCTGGAACCCTTTTTTGTCTTGTCCTTTTTTTTCTTCCCTTCTGATCCTGACAGACCGGCTCGGGAACAAGCATGAACACCCTCAAAAACTATTGTGACTTGCGCCTGCCGTGATAAACTCGGACTAATGCCAGTGTAAACATTTATACTCACGGCCATCCCTGTCGAAGTCTGATTTTGCATGGAAGCTGGAGAATATACCTGTGAGTTCTCTATCCAACTATACCTGAAGGAGGATTAACCAGGGAGTAAGTGAGCGTATTTAGGCTAGGGATCCCATTAATAGAAAACACTATTTTAACTCTTCATCCTGACTTGCGATCAAAGAGGGGGACTCACGAATCACGTGAAAGAAAGACGACCTAATTGCCTGGGAGTGCCCTGTACCTCGATCTTATTTGTAAACCTAGGCTATGCAAAGGAAACTTTAGCATGAAGTCCAGTATCTTTGATTTCGGTTTGGATGTCATTCGCCACTTTCATTATTTTCCAAGAGAAACCATTTTTTTTTCCCTTCCCATAATTTGATTAATTTCAATGGTGGCCGTTTCGCTCCTACAAATAGGTATGATAAGAGAGTTCTTGGTTCTAGACATTTGCTAGTATCTTTCGATGCCATATCCATATAAATGTTGAAAACCACATATTGCATTTAAATGTGTTTAGTGTAATAATCCTTAATCACTACAACAAAATCTGATTTGCGTCAGAAATATTTGTCAGTTTCAGGACAGTAAATTAATTTTCATTATCAATAAAGGCATCTACAATTTTTTTTTTTGTCGATGGAAAAAAATTACATTGCAAAATATTAGAGATATAATTATCTTCCTGTTATATAATTAATTTGTTTTCCGTTACAAAATTTCTCATATATTTGCAATGGAAATTTTCACCCAAAAAAATTCTCAGAAATTTGTGACGGATAATTTTGTCACACTTGCAACAACCACAGACTTCCACGTTTTTTATTTTGCAAAATATGTCATAAATTTGTGACAAATAATTCCATCAAAACATCCATCACAAAGTTCTGAGAATGATTCTTTTATTTTAATTGCTTTAACCTTTTGTTGTAATAAATGTGAAAATAGTCTAAATAAAGATACAACATTTTTTATGTTTATTGATTGTGTCAGGTATTTGATTGTATTTGAGATTTGTAATGTGTTTTAATGGTTTAGAAGTAAGTTTAAGAATTTTTTTCAAAAGATAATTATATTTTGGGAGAGTTGGCAACCCATTGCTAGCGAATTTGAGTGGGGGAATACCAACCGCCAAGAAGTAGGTTTTTCCAACCTGCACCCGCAGGCCAACTCCAAATGCTAATCATGGCAACATTTCATGTAAAACGCCATAGTCAGAGCATCTGCTTCAACCTCACTTTTTGACAACCAAAATTCTAAGCTAGTTGTAGACTTCACTTCTTATGGAAATGAAATTAGAGAAAGCAATGAAAATAGAGATGGAAGTGCCCTTTAAAAATAGGTTAGGTATGTACATGGAATGATGATACATTTTAAATTTTATACATGTAAATGGCAAAAGACCAAATTATCCTTACAAGGGTAATACAGGAAAAATAAAACAGACATAGTTGGCCACTGCAACCCCCAATGGCCGCCACAAGCAAACTTCCACCACCACGAGCCACAAAAGCAAACCCAATTTTTTACCGGAGATCAAAAGCATGGCCACAAGAAAATCAACCCAATTTGCAAGAAAAAATAAAAATAAAAAAAGAACCTACAAGGATATGCCACCTAAACTACGAAAAAAATTCGCTAGAAATTATAGCCACTAGTTTCAATGACATTAAACCCACCAGTAGAACTCAAGTGCCCAACTCCAATCTTATGTTCAGTGATGGAGACGATGAGGCAAGGCACTTGAGATCACTCAAGGCCTAAAACGAGCATATCAAAGCCATCGAGAAAGAGGGAGAGTGGTGAGGTAGAGGGGGGCGAGATCAAAGCTATCGAGAAAAAGGAAGGGACAAGATTGAAGCAATCTTTAGCCTCAGCTTGCAAATTTCAATCTTCGCCAACGGCAAGGAGATCTAAAATGTCAATAACCAGTGATGACGTGAGAAGCTCATCAAGGGATGAGAAGGACAATGAAAGGGTTGGCAAGTGTCTGGCTAAACTAAAGTGGGAAGGGCCAAAATATTATGCGCAACATGGAATTTAAAATCTTTGGATTCTAGTATGAAAACAAATTCCACCTATTTTGGTGACATTGAAATCACACTAAATAAACATTTTTTAATTTTATTTCCATCATACCAAACAGGTCCCAAACTAATAAAATGTTACTAATCAATTCAATTTATTTTGCAATATGGAAAACCAAACTCTTGAGGTGCCTGTTTAGTTGTTGAAAAAGGAACTTAATGAAATGGAATGAAATGAGTTGATGAAAAATTACTAAAATACAATTAAAATTATGAATAATGGATAGAACTGTTGAATGATAGAAGATAGTCATAAAGTGATAAAGAGGTAAAAATGATAGTCATGTAGTGATATACAAGTGAAAATAAGTGTAAAATATTATTTGCATATTGTTCATCCCTATTATTTGCATATTGTTCATGTCAATCTCTATTCTCACCCCTCTCTCATTCCATGACTCTTCTCCCTATTATTTGCATATTGTTCGCCGTCAAGCGTTACCGCAAGTGTACGGGTCGTCACAAGTGTAAAATATTTTAGAGTTATCGTTCCCACAAAAATTTTAGGCAAATAAAGGTTAAAATTCATTATTGAGCTTTGAGATATGTTGAGCAAAATTAAGAGTATTTTTTTGTGTGAAAGCAATGAAAATCTGATTAAAATGGTTTTAAAGCAATTAAAACTTGTTGAAACTTTAACTTTCAAAGGTGAGAAACTAGGATTATCTCTCCCCTTTATATTTCATAAAACTTAAATTAATTCTTCTCTAATATATTTTTAATAAAAATAAGTCTTAATCTAAGATTCTAATTCACTTGAAGAAACTTTCTCAAGTCAAAATTAAGTATATTTGAAAACACTAAAATTTTATAATTTTTTAAAAATAATTAGTGAAAATAAATTTTAAGCACCAATCTTAATGTAATTATAAAGGGTTAATAAAATATCTCTATTTTACCAACAAAATATCCATTTATCTTTGTAAAATTTCACGCCCAATACTATTTTATTCAAGTTCTACATCTAAATTAGCTTTCTCAAGCACAACTCAAGTGAACAAAACAATATAAATAGTGATCAAGCACTTAAAAGCACTAAGCATGGGATAAAAAATACATATATATCATTAACTACCAAAAGAGAGAAATATTCAAGTATTAATCCATATAAAGGTTCGAAATAATCCTAAAACAAGATGACTAACTACTCATATTCAAAAAAGAGCCATAAATGTTATAATATATAGCAACTATATCATAAACAAAGAGAGAAAAGGGAAGAGAATAAGAAAAACTAAAGGAAATCCACTTAAATTTTTTTAAATTTTTAATCCTTGGCCAAATCTCCGTTAAGAACCCCAAACTCTAGCAGAGCAAACTTTAAAGAATCTCTCCAAGTCATGGTCTGAGGTCTGGAGGCGTGTTTATGGTTTTTCTACCTTAATTTTTTAGTTATGGAGCTCAAAACGCGCAATAGAATTAAGGACATGCGTCGTAGCGTGTTGTCAGTGCGCCGCGGCGCATGTGGCAAAATGTAAATTTGCACCGCGGCCTGTTGACAATGCGACGTGGTGCACATGCATCTTCAGGACTCCTGTCTCTGTACCATCTACTGCAACGCATTGTGCATGCGTTGCGACACATGACACAGAGTTTTTAATCTTTTATTTTGACTCTCATTTTTTTACCATTATGCTTCCATATGCATCTTCAATCATTGCTTGGCTCTATATGTTTGAAGATATTTAAAGTAAACCACCTGAAATGGTAAATATAGCTATGAGATCTTTTAAAGTTTAAAATCAAAGTCAGAATCTTTGCAAAATTCTCAATAAACTCTATTTTCTATGTCAATTTGGAATAACGCTCATTTTTCTATATTTAATCCAAAATATTTACAATTGATCTAATTTAGCACATAAAGTATAGAAAAATACACTGAATTGATATTAATTTCAATAGATTATCACATATGTATCAATCAAGAACATTAGTTTAGTCCATTTTATTCTTTATTAACTCCCATTCCTATTAAACATCAAAACGAGCCCTTCTAATATTTTCATTTAAATCAAGAGCATTTTAATGAGTCGGATCACACAACACCCAAAGAATTAAGAGATCCTATACCAGTTAGAAAATAGCTTTTGATCCTTGACCATTAAAAATGGGGTTATTTTTTCTTCTCCTCTGCTAATTTAAAAAAAAAATCGGTAGCTAGGATTTTTTTTTTGGTTCCATTAGGGTACATTAATAAATAGTCCTAAAGACATAATATCTCCTTGCTGGGATTTCGTCATGTCACTACTTTGTAGTGATAACTTGTCCAAAAGATATGATAACTCTTGCCCTGGATATATCCCCACCATAAATATCTCCAATTCAATGCACATCTCCTCGACCCTTTTAAGTATAGTTTCCTCTGTCTTAGGGTCCGCCTCTACGTTACTCAAGGGAAAATTCCCTGTTGCAGTCTATTGCAGAATAAATACATGTTACGCTCTGAAGTTAATCTATTGAAAACCAAGCAAACTGACTCGAGGCTATGGAAATTTATATGTCAGCATAAGAACTACGTGGAGGAAGAAACTCAATGGTAACTATGTAATGGAGAGTCAATTTTTTTAAAGATTTCTGGCTTTTTCCTGATAAGAAAATAAAAAATCTAGTGCTAAGACCTCTTCCGAAGGGAGAAAACAACTCTAAAGTTGCTAACTGGACGTGCTTTTATAGCTGGGCTTTTGTCAGATTATCATTTGTAGTGCCAAATGAGGTAATTTCAAAACTGATTTCAGCTTTGCCTCCATCCCAATCTACAAGAGATGACATTATGTTGTGGAAGGGCACCACTAATGGCTCCCTTACTAAGAGTGCTTGCTTTATGATTGAAAACCCCCCACTAAACTTACTTGATCCTATGTTCAAAACGATCTGGAAATGGAAAAGGGTAGCGAGAATTCAGATTTTCTTATAGATGACTTATCACAATAGATTACCCACTAATAGCTGGAGAAGCATACGGGCTAATTGTTCCCTTACTTGTAATTGGTGTGGGAAAGATGAAGAGGCTGCTCTTCACATTCTTTGAGATTGTAAATATGCAAAGCAGATTTGGTATAAGTTATTGCCTTTGAAACACCATCGACTTTTCTTTTCCTTAACTCTTAAGGATTGGATGACTTGGAATTTAAAGCCTCCCCCTAACTCTGGATTATTTGCTAACTGGGATTTAATATGGGGAGTTGCCATTTGGAAACTGTGGAAACAGAGTAACTGCTATATCTTCCAACGTGATTAGCTCAAACCAACTAATCCTATATATGGATGAGGTGTTGAATTCTTGAAAATCTTATATCATGCGACAAGATGTTGACATCAACACTAACGAGCATTGTGTGACTGTCAAAGTCTGGAAACCCCCTCCAAAAGACTGGGTCAAATTTAACACAAATGGTGTTGTGTCTACTGTATCAAATAGAGCTAGTTGTAGTGGTGTTCTTAGAGATCATAAAGGAACCTGGATTGCGGGCTTTTCCTTTTCTATTGGAAGCTGCAACCCCTTGAAAGCAGAGGAATGGGCCATATTCCGTGGTCGTCATATGGTGTGGGACATGGGATTCAAGAAGGTGATTATGGAGTCAAATTGTAAGAACTTAGTGATACTGAGCAATGACAAGAATGGAGGCCCAGTTAATGGTAACTTAGTCTTTATGGAAATCAAAAGGCTACTATAATATAACTGGTGCATGCAGATAAATTTTATCTTAAGGGAACAAAATTTTGGTTGCTGATTCTCTAGCTAAAGAAGGAATATCAAACACTTCTCTTTTCAATTCGACTCCCCAATTTTTGAGGGACCTTATGTTAAAAGATTGTTTGGGACTTCAATCCCCTAGCTTTCTTTCGGTTTAGTTTGCATAATCTGGGCTTTGCCCTTGTCCTTTATCAAAAAAAAAAAAAATTCCCCCGCCCCTAGTTATATAACCAGCCCAAATATCTCCAACAACCTAATGCAAAATATATGGACCTGGCTGTATGATAACCTTACTCGCTGCCAGCAAGCTAAAATCTATCTATTTATTCCTAAAATATTGTAACATTAGACAAACCAACGACCAACCACTGAATGGCCGAAGATTCAAACCTCATCGCATCAGGATTACCAAAAAAAAAAAAAAATTCTATGCCAGGCCGAAAATATAAAAGCTTCTATCAACTACATTGTAAATGACAACCATGGAGATAGGACATCAAATTTGAGAGATTTACATTTCATTCTCTAAACTAAGCTACAAAGTTAATATGTAAACATTAATACTTACAAGAGCACCAGTTAACTTTTAAACTAAAATAAAAACATAATATGTTAGCCAAAATTGATGGCAAGTGACTGCATGCTTCTGGTTGTGACAGAAATATTCGATGTCTAGAATTTAGTTCAGGATTTAGGCGAATATTCTGTTAAATTTTGATTTGACGGTCATATACTAATAATTTCATAATTACATGATCATTCAAAGCACAGAAGCATGATTTTTCGTAAAACTTGTCTTTTAATGGCAGCTTGTTCCTTCAAATTTGAGTTTATATTGGATACGGAGGGACGAAATAGATGTGGATGACAGGAGTTTCAAACACTAATGTCACTGTACATGACTGTCTTCTCACATGCATTCATCTGCATTAAATAAATAATCCATGGCTTTTATATGTTCATAATCACTAGATCAAGCCTGATGGAATTTGATTTACTTCCTCCAGTATGAAAGCAGTGATTGATCGATTCAACCAAACTAAAGAAGATCAACATCCTCACCTTGGGAGCTCAACGTCAGAAGTGAAGGTATCTCTACGCATCTCCATATGGCTTTGCAAGATTCATGTCTTTGGGGAAGGGGGGGTTGATATTGCATGCGGAATATTATCAATCTATGGGTGATCTTTGTACACACGTACACAATAAACCAGAGGGGGCAAGTAGGGTTACAGGCAAAGCACACAAATGTACATCATAGCTTCAGGAGGTTAAGTGCAATTTACCAAGAGGTAGTGTATATCTCACATTAAGTGACTTTCTCCTTTCATATCAAAGGAAATTAGAAGTGTAAAATTGAAAAAGAACTCATCGGTCAAAATCCCCCCTGTTCCTCACTACAATAATATTGAGGATTTTGACATCCTATCTTACCCATTCCTTCACCTAACAGAATGAGCTATACGTTTTCATAAGGAAGATTGTCAAATTCTCTCAAGTGATTGTTGCCAAAATGATACCAAAAAAACATACCCAAAAACTTAAAAAGGGAACTGGATCATAAAAATCAAGCAATAACATAGGGGACGTACATTGTTTGGCAACTAAAAAGCCTAATGCAATCATGACAATAGTAGAGGAACATTCTGGATGCAATAGCAGAAGGTTGCGTTAAATTAAGTAACTTTCTAGCTAAACAGGTTTGAAAGTAATTGCGATAGGAGTTTATTAGTTTTACTTGAGAAATAAGTGTCAAGGAAGACAGAATATCTAGATGAGAAAAAAGAAAAGGAAAAGAAAACCTAGTAGAGGCGATTTCCCAAAACTTTCATTTAAGAGACTTCCTTGTCAGGAGCCATGCTCATGTATAGTTAAGTCCTTGCTCAGCAGCTTTACAAACTTGAGCACATTTTGATATCCATCAATTGTGGCAATGCCCATGCTACCCTTAGGTGGTGTCCACGTCATATTCATCTCACACATAAGAATATGACCATTGATTCATTGAACAGCAACCTCCAAACGAGTATCAATTTTGACCAGATTTAGAGTTTAATTTAACATATTTATTATTGCTGGAACTGAATTTGAACATCATATAGGCTAAAAATGAGAGTTCTTGCCCAGCAGCTTTACAGATTTAAGTCAAACACCCTTAGGTATCCATTGATTGTGGCCACGCAGGTTGTATTCATATCATATTCATCTGACACATAAGAATACAGGCATTGAACATCAACCTCTAAACAAGTATCAATTTGACCAGATTTCAAGTTTAATATATTTGTTACTATTATGATGAAGTTGAGCATCATGTGGACTGCGAATTGTGCAAATTGAAAAGGATGACCCATTAGGTTCTGAAATGCTTTTTGGGGGAGGCATGCAAGCCTTACAAAAAATTTCATATCCTCATGTTTCTGAATGTGAAAACTTGAACAGGAGAAAACCATTAAAAAAAATATTCTTAGAAGATCCTGATATGAGTTTCCCCATCATGATCTTTCTAGCAAATCGAATAATAGTGACATCCACACCTCCAAACCTTATCTTGAAGTAATCAAATGGGAAAACAAGGTTGGTCAGAACACCATGCCAACTTCCAATTAACCCCATGTTATGATCCGCTGAATATCAAATGTGAAGATTTTCATCTAATAAAGATTTGCAAATGCTATTGTTCATCACACATTCACACTATGCTAGGAAATAATGGGGAGAATGAGTTGAAAGTTGAGCAAAAGACGGTATAGTGTGAATAGTGATGTGAAATCAATTAAACACTTTGCAGATGGAAATAGGAAATTTTACTCGTACCAACTGTTTCCAAAAACATTACAAGAAAACGATCTGTACATACAATCTCCAACCAGAAAAAATGATCAAGAGTCCAGATCTAATCCCTATGCTATCGGGAAAAAAATAATAAAAGATCTTCATTCCCTCCAATGTGATTGAAACATAAAGTATCAGCTCAATAGACACTGGAGAGACATATCAAATAAAAATTTCATTACTTTGGAACATTAAAATGAAAATAAATTTAGCTATTTGGACATCTATAGAAAGTTGTCTTATTTCTTCGGATACTTTCAGAATTGGGTGATATCATGGTTGAAAAGAATATATATCTAATGCTAGATGTCACCTTAATATCTAAGTGCACCATTCTCTGTGTTTTCTTGTTCCATTATTTCTAGTTTTGGCAGAGGGAGGCAGCAATGTTAAGGCAACAATTGCAGAACTTACAAGAAAATCACCGGTACGTATATTTTCCTGCAGCATAAATTTATTTCATTAATTATTTTTACATAAAGTTTAATTTGAGCATGTACATCAGCATAATTTAGAACCAAGAGAGTGTTACTTAGATATGAAATGTCCAAATGTAATTTAAAGTGTCACGTAGTGTCTGATCAAAAGTGCCTTAGATATGTTGCCCACAGACATGGCTCCTATTCTGAAATGTCCATGCTTCATGGCCTCAGCATTCAGGCCAGAAGCTGGCTCTCACTACATCCCTTCTTATCATTACATTTGTCTCAGTATCTCCATTTTTGCACTGTCAAAAATCTATTTATACAACCATACCCACATACCCATATGCATGTGTTAGTTCAAAGAACCTGTAAGCGCCTCTAAGTTCCAATGTTTCAGAGCCAAATGGACTGTCATACAAGAGCAAGATTCTTGTTTTCAGGGCCGTAAGCATTCTGGGATCAAGTCAGGCAATTCCTAGGCCAAACCTATTGCCTAGCCCCTATAGGCTAGCAATAAAGTCATAAAGATATATATATAAATAATATGTTATTTATAAAAAAATTTAAGGCCAACAGTAACCAATCATACTTTTTTTTTTTTAAAGAACAATCTCAAGTCCTAAGGGCTACACTTAAATCAGCTAAGCCCTAGGGCCAAATAAGTCTAGGCTAAAATGCCTTTTTAAAATTGAGCTTCCACTTTACTGATCCAGTTCTATACTTATATTAGGATTGAACAGACTGGCCCATCTTCAACATCCGTGGATTTTTCCAATTCCAAAGACTATTTTCTATACAGGCAGATGAGAAATATCATCATGTTCCCACACAGATTTTTAATAGACCATAAATGTATCCGCAAATAAACTAGTTTGAAGCTGATAGCATTTTTTTCAAAGAAAAACTTCCAAAACAATACAGGAGATTTGTACTTGCTGGAAAATACGTCCCATGTCTCTAGCCTAGTTCATTAATTATCGGTCTCCAAGATGCAGCTCAAACTTCTTTCGTGAATTAACAGGCAAATGATGGGAGAAGAGCTTTCAAGTTTGACTGTAAAAGAATTACAGGGTTTGGAAAGCCAAATTGAAATTAGCCTTCAGGGTGTCCGTATGAAAAAGGTTAGTGTCACCTTAATGAAGTGCTCAAAGAAACTTTGAGATAGGACAAACAATAACTGTTCGTTTCCAAAAAAGATCTACAATGCCCTTAAGTTTGAACATGACTGATGCAGGACCAACTTTTAATGAATGAAATACAGGAACTAAACCGAAAGGTCAGTCCTAAAACATGAAAAGTGGTTACACTCCTCTTACATTGAATGAACATTTTATTTAATTTCTGCAGGGTAGCCTTATACACCAAGAAAATGTGGAGCTTTATAAGAAGGTATACCTAATTCGTCAAAAAAACATAGAATTAAACAAAAAGGTATTGGTTTGAGTAGCTAAAAAGAGATACAAACTTAAATAGTTTCTTCACACTAAAGGATGCAATTTTTAAACCAGTGAAAATTTGTTGAGACTTTAATTCTCAAAAAATGAGAAATTTCACTAATCCAGGCCTATGAAACAAGATACGGGAACACAACAAACAGAAATTCGGCTCTTCAAAATGGTCTAGGCATAGGAGAGGACTTGCAGGTTCCTGTAAATCTCCGACTCAACCAGCCAGAGCAATAAACCTATGAAACTCCTTCCGGAGTCACAAAATTGAGGTATGATTTTTTACCCTTAGCATGTGAGCCATTAAATCGTGGGAAATAGTAAAAACTTTTACATAGATTCGTTTGAATGTTGCAGCAGATTTCAAGTGCATTGATGGATCTACATGAGATGCATGCTTCTTGGTGCCATCAAAAGATTGTGGGGTCAGGTTTGGGTTTCGTGCTTGGCATTCATGATGGGCCATATAGGTCTTGTGTCATGTTCATGAATAATGAATACAGCATCTTATGTAAAGTTACGACCAAATAAAACACAAAACTCTTCAAACAGCAGCCATGTGAAATGCATTTTCACTTATTTATCGAGTTAAAAAAATTTTCTTTCCCTTTGGATGGGACAAAAACTGCCATAGTGAAGGATGACAATCATAATGTTAGCAACATAAAAAAGAACACAATACAAATAGAAGGAAGATTTAATCAACAAAGGAATCTAAACTGAAAAGCAAGAATAAAACAAACAATGGAATTAGCAAAAGTTTATCTCAACCCACATCTCACTTAACTATAGAGCCGCTGGAATTACCGATTATCCTGTCTTCTTGCTTTGATGTCATTTACACTTCAAGAAGTACAATTACCATGATATTTCATCAATGCACAGATAAAGGTAGTTTAACATCATGCCATATAGACTATAGGCACAGCTAACATTTTTTTTAATATGAAATTGAGTTCAACAGAAAGGGAGGAGCATATCAATAAAACTGGAACGATCCAGAAATGATCAAAAAAACAAATTTCAATGGAGAGATTAAAAATATTATTTAAGGTGATGTAAACACATTGGACACAACTGCATGCAAACTGCTACTTCAGTTTTACTAAACAGATATAATAGAAGGCACCACTTCAGCACAAAACTTGCATTTTAAAGGTGTGATCCATCGTCATGACTTAAGTGGTCATTGATTTCTCAATTTCTAACGTTACCAAGCCTTTTTCAAACAAGAAGGTTTGAATTAGAGTACCAACACTATCTTCTGAAAAAACAAGAAGTTAATCAGTTCACAGTGCTCAGTTTGGGGAAACGATGACACAGTTAACCAAGGAAAAGCTGTTACAAATGGTTACAAAAAAAGAATCGAGCTTCAATGACATAACCAATACAGACAACTTGGATCACTTAGATCCAAATCATTGTCACATCAAACAAGAAGAGAAAGTCAAAAGAATGGATACATTTATAAGTAATATTGCAACAGAAATTAGAGTACTAACCGCTCAATGTTAAAAACAATGTATTCAATTCATAAAATGCTATCAAGCATAATTTTGCATTCTCTCTTTCAGCATAGAAGAAATCACATGAATAATAACAGTGTCATTTTCATTATCTGTGAAGTCCTGCAATTGTATGGCAATGATAAGGATCAAGATCCTGACTATTAATGATATGATCGCTACAGATATGGTTTGCAAATAATTGGTCCATTCCATCAGATTTCAATTAAGAAGTTGAGAATAAATCACCAATTAAGACGCTAGTTTTCAAAGGGGCAGTAGGAGAAGATAAAGCTGGCAACACATGGTAATACATGGCACATGTGCCATCAAGATAAACCCAATGTTTCATTAGACTCATTTTTGCTTGCATGACAACCATCACACTGTTTCTTTAAAGGAGACTCATCCAGATAAAACTGATGAGCCTGTCTATATTAATGGGTTTCTCAGGTTCTTACTGTTATTCATTTATCACTTTGTTTTAGGGAGAAAAATGCTATATCCTTATGACTATTTGCACGAGAGAACAATGAAGAGCTTCAAAATATTTATTATTTGATAAGAATTAGATATTACCAATTTTTTCTCCAGCAAAACATCATGAAGAAGTGTAGTTCTGAATGTTAAATGGCATATTGGAAACCCAAGCATCAATTTGCCATAAATTCAACTAAGGAAAAAAAAATTAAGATCGGCCCTAACTAATAAAATGAAAGTTTTCAGCCTCAACTTTTATTGACAAACTTAGTATTTAAAATGATTCAAGTTGTCATTGATTTAAGAAGTCTATTGATTAGGGAAAGAAGTCATGTTAGATTGAACAATTTACAAAATTTTGAATTAGAGCTCCCACAACGGACAACCCAAGGAAAAACTAGAGTATAGCGTTGTCAATGGCACATGGACATGGTGACAAGTAGTGAAAGGCTCAAATTTTTAACTTTAAATTGCCATATAAATATTGAATGTAACAAATACCCTCAACCTTGGGAAGCTCAACAATTGTTTAATTACAACACTGATGGACTAACATTTAATTTTCTATATTCTGCCAAGGTAGCCACTAAATTAAAGCTGATGCCACATGGAAATTAAAATGCTACTTTGACTTGCCATTACAAAACTAGCTTTTCATGTATATTTTCCATTTTGCAAACTAAGCCTAGAAGGTAACCAAACATTGGTTAGCTATGCTATTTTTGCATATGATTTCCTTATATTTCACTGAAGAAACAGAGTACATATATTGGTGCAAGAAGGGACAATCGAATCTGATTGTAGTAGGCAAATAACTCTAAAACAGGAAAATCCCATTGGGGATATAAAAGTAACGAGAAAATATCCTAATAATCAAGTTATATTTGAAAACTTAGGTCAGACTCTTCTAAGGGCCCTAAGCAAGCCCACTTCTAACATTTCCCCTCAAGCTGGCGAGTAGATATTAATCATTCCCAGCTTGCTTCCAAATCCTTTAAACTTGTCTTCAATCAATGATTTTGTCATCACATCAGCAATTTGTTGACCAAAGGGAATATATGCTAAATCAATTATTTTGTCCTCAATTCTTTCCCCAATGAAGTGCCAATCAATCTCTACATGTTTCATTCGATCATGTTGAATTGGATTTTTGGCAATTTTTATGGCAGACATGTTGTCACACCAAACTTTTATCGGAGAATTCACATCCATCTTCAGCTCTCTTAGAAGTCTAATAAGCCACATTCCTTCACACACCCCAAGGACAATGCTCGATACTCAGATTCAGCTGAGCTTCTTGATACAACGGGCTGTTTTCTACTTCATGTCACAAGATTACCCTACACATGGGAGCAACAGCCAGTAGTAAAGCGTCTATCATTTTTTGAACCTCCCTAATCTGCATCAGTGAACATTTCTATTCTTCTAGAGTAACCCTTCTCAAAGAACAAGCCTTGTCTTGCCGTTTTCTTTAGGCATCTGAGAATCCGATACACGACTGTCATATGTTTAGTCTAAGGATTACTAGAGAACTGACTTACCATACTTATAGGATAGCATATGTCAAGTCTTGTGTGGGACAAATAGATCAATTTTCCCACCAATCTCTAATATCTTTCCCTGTCAATTGCTTTAACATCTGGCCAAATAATCAATTTTTGATTAAGCTCCATAGGTGAGTGCGCTGATCTAGCTCCCAACATTCCTGTTTCTTTTAGCCAATCAATAATGTACTTGCGTTGAGACATGCTAATTCCTTTTTCTGTCCTGGCAACCTCTATGCCCGCTCAAGTATCTCAAATTTCCAAGATCCTTGATGTCAAATTCAACAGCTAGTTTCTCTTGTAAGTTGGCAATGTCCTTGGCATCATTTCTTATGAGGACAATGTCATCCACATATACAATAAGAGCAGTGATTTTTAAACCACAGTGTTTCACAAATAGGGTATCATCTACTTGACATTGAGTATAACCTTGTTTCTTTATTGCTTGATTGAATTTGTCAAGCCAAGCCCTTGGAGATTGTTTTAGGCCATGAAGAGATTTGAAAAGTCAGCAAGCTTTATTTGAGTTTCCTACATACCTCAAGCTTAGGCGTACCTCCATATATACCTCCTCCTTGAGTTCACCATTTAGAAAAGTATTTTTAACATCCAATCGATGTAATGGCCAATCCAAACTTGCAGGAATAGATAATAGAACATTAATAGTGTTGAGTTTAGCTATTGGAGCAAAGGTTTTTTGGTAATCAATGCCACAAGTTTAAGAGAACCCTCGAGCAACTAGTCAAGCCTTGTATTTATTGATCATTCCATCTAAGTTATACTTGATTGTGAAGAGCCATTTACTGCTCACAATTGTTTTTCCTTTAGGTAGCTCAATAAGCTTCCAAGTCTTGTTCTTGTGAAGAGCTTGTAGTTCCTTATCAATAGCTTTCCTCCATTTTGGATCTATTATAGCTTCATCATAACTATTCGATATCTTGACCTTCTCAAAATTAGCAACAAAGGTTCTTAGATGAGGAGACAGCTTTTTGTATGAAACCTACCTACCGATGTTGAGTTCAACTCCTTTTCCTATTTCTTAAGGCAATCGACCAATGTAGGTCTTCAAGACTTGGTTCAGGTGCAGACTCTTGACTTTGCCTTGTTGTAGCAATGGACTCATGCCCACTATGTTGCTGTTCAGATGTATTTAAAGGTTCTTCCACTATAGTCTCAGCTGAATTTGCTTCAGAAATGAGGTTCGAAGGTTCAAAAGGATTAATGTCTTGAAATCTGGACCTGGTGGATGAAGATTCAGTGCTGGTAGGTAATAAGTGAGAATTTTCTAGGCTGTTTTCAGATTTAGAAGGTGAAGTGTAAGGGAAAGATAAGCCTGATTGAGGATGCAGAGGTATTGAAGTATTTGACTCATACTGGTCAGAATTAGTGAAATAATTTTGCTCAGTTTCACAAATGATCCATTCATACTTAGAGATCTCAAAAGTCATCTCCCCCTAATTGGGTGATTTTGGAAAAACATGGCTGATTTTCAATAAATTTGACATTTATAGTCACATAAACCTTATTATTGGAAGGAGAAAAACATTTGTAGCCTTTTTGAGATGAAGAATATCCTAGAAAAAGCATTTTAAGGAACAAGGATCAAGTTTGCCTCCTCCTTCATTGTAAACAAAAGCAGTGCAGCCAAACACCTTAGGAGGAATGGAAGAAATTAAAGGAGAAATAAGGAAATTTTTAAGAAATTTCTAAAGAGAGGTGAAAAAATTGAAAGTTTTGGAAGGCATTTGGTTAATTAAATATGCAGCGGTAAGAACAGCATCCCCCCCAAAATCTATTAGGCAAATTGCTGTGCACCATAAGTGCACGAGCAACTTCGAGAAGGTTCGTACTTTTTTTTTCAAAAACCCCATTTTGTTGAGGAGAATATGCACAAGATGTTTGGTGATGTAAACCATGTAGGTTACAGAATTCTAAAAAACTGAGAATTCAAATACTCCCTTCCATTATCACTCCTAAGAACCTGGATTTTAGTATGAAATTGAGTTTTGCAAACATGTAGAAGGTTTTGAAAATAGAGAAGACTTCGGACTTATTCCTCATAAAAAAGATCCAAGTTAACCGAGTATGATCATCAATAAATGAAACAAACCAGCAGGCTTTAGAATTAGTTTCAATTTTAGATGCACCCCATACATCACCATGAATGAGAGTAAATCACTTAGTGGGATTGTAAGAATGACTAGGATTAGAATTGCAAGTTTGTTTAGCAATGTGACAGGTTTCACAATGGAAATCAATAATAACTTTAATATTAATATTGTGAAACAAAGTTTGCAAGTAGCTAAAACTAAGGTGGCCTAACCTAGACTGCTACAATTGAACATCATCCACAGACATAAAAGTAAAGACACAAGAACTATGTGCTTTTGGTAGGTTTCCTTGAAGATAATAGAGTCCATGCCACTCCTTAGCATTGCCAATCATCCCCCACAAAGCAAAATCCTCAAAATCAAACCTAAATTTGTCAAAAACAACAAGACAATTAATTTGATGCACAATTCTACGCACAGATAGCAAGCTGCACTTAATTTCAAGAACATAGAAAACATTTCTTAATATTATGCTTGCAGAAATGGTCACTGTTCCCATTCCCATAACCTTAGCAAGCTACCCTTTAGCTACTTCCATCGCATCATGTTCTTTGAATTCAGTAAATTTGGAAAAAAAGTCCTTGTAACCTGTAATGTGGTCTGTGGCGCCAAAGTCTACTATTTAGATATTTTTATAAGAAGAAGCACTACTAAGTGCTTGAGTAAGAGTAGTACCTGCTTGTGCTAGAGTAACAGAAGGGGTATGCGTCTCACCAGAAGTAGGAGCAGGTTGATTTCCATGTTTGTCTAAGATTTTTCGAAGAACAAGAAGAACCTTTGTGCTTAAAGACCCATTATCTGGTAGGGTTGGTCCCACCATCATGACTTTACTATCGCTTCTTGATTTCTGTTTGTTGTTGGAGGGCTTATCGTGTAATTTCCAACAAACTTCCCAAGTGTGACCCTTTTTATTGCGATGATTACACCAACAACCAACTTTATTCCTTTTAGAATCTTCTTGTGTTCCATGAAGAGCCAAGGTTGAGACTTTTAGAGATGGAGAAATAGAAATAGAAGGAGACCCAGTGTGAGATTTAGTGAGTACCTTCTGACTTTCTTCACATTTAATCATGTTGAAGGCCTCTTCCATTGTCGGCAGTGGTTTAACACTCATAATTCGGCCATGAGCATCTTCAAATGAGTCTTTTAAGACCCAAAAGAAATTCATAACAACATTTTTGGTGAACTAGTTGCTTGTAGTATAACTCATCTTTAGTGCATGACCATGTATGGACCTCGCATAGATCAATTTGCTGCCATAGCCCATAAGCATTTCAGTGTACTAAAAAATTGACTAACAGTGAGATCACCTTGAACTAGTGGCCGTAGTTGACACTTGACTTGGAATATGGCTACTGTGTTCTCCTTCACAGAGTAAGTTGTCTTGACTGAGTCCATATTTCCTTGACAAAGATAGAGAGAAGATAATTTCCACTAATTTTTGGCATCATCAAGTGAATCAACCAAGCCATCACCAAATTATCCTCTGCACACCATCTGTCATATATGGGGTTGGCAGGATTCGATGGTGGAGGAATCCATGTCAGATAATAATCCTTTTGTCAAACACGTATGATCATCAGCATCAAGACCACTGAAGATAGTTGTGTTCAGTGAGACGGTGCGAGTTGAGATGTAGGGCAAAGTCAAACAAACCCATCACAGTGGACAATAGACCATCCCCCTTATCGAGTTCGATCGCAAAGATGAATCTGCCCCTGCCAAGTTAGTTGGACCTGCATCTGTGGCATGGACCCATGCCGAAAAACCCAGTGCTGAGCGATAGTCCATCATGCCACTCACAACTCTAATACCATGCTATTTTTGTATATGATTACTTTATATTTCATTGAAGAAACAGAATACAAATACAAGTGCAAGAGGGACAATTGAATTTGATCGTATCAAGCAAATAATTCTAAAACAGGAAAATCTCATATATTTGGGGATATAAAAGTAAAAAGCAAGTATCCTAATAATTAGGTTATATTTGGAAACTTAGGTCAGACTCTTCTAACTAGCCTAAGGAAGCCCACTTCCAACAAGGTAAAGAGTTTGTTTTTCTAAAAGAATTTTTGGCTTGTAAGAGTGGAATCCAAACGGCACATAATGCATCTCATCAACATGTCCATGAAAAATTAACAATCTCGGTAGACTGTGGGACTATAAAAAAAGTGCAAAATTGCAGGGTCCAACTTGTATAGAGAACGATTCTAAGGACTAAAGCATCAAAGTATATACTCCCTCCATTCAAAAATGTAAGGCATTTTTAATCTTTCGATATGTAATCATTGTTTTTTTTTTCAAAAGTGTCACTATTGATAAATGACTTCATATTTATTGTGGGGTGTTTAACAAGGGTAAATATGAAAAAATAGGGTTAGTTTGAAAATAGGTAACTACTTTATTGGGGTGAAATTCATTTAAAAATGCCTTACATTTTTTAACGAATGGAGTATGTTTTAGGGATCAAAGTCTATATTTTTTGTTCAATCTAACAATATTATCCTATGCACACTTTAATTACTAAATCTTCTAATAAAAATACAACTTGAGAAATACAATACTCACCATAGCCAATCCATTGCTTATAAAAATAAAAATATTACATATATTTCACTTAAATGAAGTCATTCGAAATAAGAACGTATGTGCTCACCGCGTAAGAAGGGAAAATGCATGAAATCTTCAGCCAGTCTACTGTCTACAGCTACAGAATTGAAAGGTGAATTTTCTGACATAATTTCCATATCGAAAGGAAAAAAGGAAACTGAAATGAGAAAAGGAATTCAAGTAAGCGCGTATAAGAGGGTAAAATTTACGTTTATAAATCAACCAAGTACTGAAGACTGTCCTAAACCGGCGAAAGAAGACAGGAAACATGACCGACTAAACAAAAAAGAATTATATTCGTAGATCGTACCTCCAAGTTACCTGGGATCCGAACGCGCATTGTCCAAAAAGCGGCCCGCTATTCCCGTAACTAAGACTAACTTAAGATAACCTAGATAATATGAAAATAGACACATAAATGGATGCCACAAGCAGCATGTAATACTGCGATTATATTAGAAGCAAGATAATGTAAGTAGCGTATTCTCTAGAAAGCATCTGAATGTAATGGTAGTGAAAAGATAAATCACGCGAGAGTTAGGGCAGTAATGACTGTCTAATAAGGTTACCGGCTTCGTTTGCTTGTCTCTCTTCTTTTATATTTCCACAAGTTTTCGGGAATCAAACGGATTCAGAGTACGGAAACACGAAGCGAAAACCGCATCTGGTTTCCATGAAAGTAAATTCAACCATACACGGATTCCAGTCATACATCTATCGAAGTTGTAACAAGTGAAGCGACCGAACTCGGATCAAGAATTCTGATCAAAACAATCTTCTCAGAGAGAATCGCGATTATTGTGAATCGGAATCCGTGGGAAGATCGAGGGAAAATAAGCGGAAATAAAGGAGGGAAGACAGGATAACAGATCTAATTCTAAGAATTGCTACTAGTACCCATGAAGCGTGAGCGAATACGGGCCTGAAAAGCTGTTTTTTTTTTTTTTTTTTTTTGAGGGTGGGGGGGAAGCAGGCTGAGCTCGAGAAAATATCTGAACTAATTAGGGATTTAAATATGTAATCATGGGGGAGGGCATTGGCACTTTGGCAGCGTCTCGCGCTTTAAAGGGTCAACGGAACCCATTGGCAGGCGGTTGGCGTGTCTATGGTTCACCAAAAACTAAGATTAGTTGATTAGAAAATATAAAATTGTTTTAAATTTGGTAACCTTTTATTTTTACTTCTAATAAACATTGATTCTTTATTGTTTTTGTAATGCTTCGATCGTTCAGTTGTTTTTCTTATTTTTTAATTATTATATTCTATTTAGAATAAACGCCATTTTAATATTCAGTATTGAAAGAAATAATACAATTTTATATTTTTATATTTTAAAATGAAAATGAACTAAAAGTGCGTAAGTTTAATTATTTTTAAAATTATTTTTTTTGTCAAAATATTTCTCACTTCACATTTAATCTAATAGTCTGAAGAAAAAATAATTAAGAGACTAAAGCATTGTAAAAAGTATTAGGAGAGTGGAATTTCATAAACGGATTGGGATATTTTGAATACTTTTACTTCTTTTGTGCCAGCCCTTTGGGTGGTCTCACTGCCGATGGTACAAGCTTGTTGGTAAATGACCTGTGTCTAGACAATGATGGTTCTTCTAAGGATGGCATTTATAAATGTAGGAGGTGTGATTCCTAATAGCAATGTTAAATGGATTACTGGGTTTCAATTCACTGCTGATCGCTTTCCTCTGTTAATTATTGAGGTTATTGGTATAATTCAAGGTCTCAACATGCAAGTCGTCTAAATCTGCAACAAATTCAAGTCTTCACTAATCGTGCTGAGCCAATCAATATCCTTACCAAGTATGTCAACACTCATTTGGAAACATCATTGAGTGTGCCAGGTAATTGTTGTTTCATTTTAGAGTAGCTTCTCTTAAGTTTATGTATGGATAAGTTAATTATTGTCCTTATTTACTTGTTCACAGCATCATTGATCATGTTGGTAGCTTTTATGCTTTTGATCAACTACTATTTTTCTGTCAAGAGATGATGGGTGGTGAAAAAAATGAGTCTCAATTTGTAAATTGATTTCTGTTGTAGAGTCTATTTAGATTAATGTTGTAACACACCAAATTTTTTTTTTTTTATATAATTTAACTCAACCATAGTTGGGTTACAACCACCCAACACATTTTTATATCAATAATTTCGATATAAAATATTTTATAATTGGCTTCAACTCACACACTATAACATTTCAGATAAATTTTTACCTCCCACATGCCATTAGGCTAAATCACATTTGTCCATCCTTATACTCCCAACAAGTAAATTAAATCACATTTGTCCATCCTTATACTCCCAACAAGTAAAATAAGCAATTTAATCAATTTTCAACACAAGCCAGTTATTTGACCTTATAATCATGCCATTTTAACCAATCCAAAGTAAACCAAATATTAAAATTACAGTCATCCAAATTGTACTAAAAATAGAAATAGTTTGAAAGGCATGATTACATTTATATATTCATATAATTGACAATAAATATAAAAAAGTCCTAATATTGGCAATATAACACATTATAAATCATAAATTAAATACCCAAAAGAGACAGTGGATCTATACCACTAAGCCTCTGGGACTCCTCTACGTGTCACTCGTGGCTCTTCTCCTGAAAATTGTTAACCACATAATGAGACTCAAAAGTCCCAGTAACCAAAGCCAATTTATGATGGTGTATACAAACAGTTAAGTGTGTGCTTACTAAGTGAGAATTAAAAATAATATAATTCCAACAAATATAAGAAATATTATAATAAACACAAACAACCATCCTTATATCCCTCCATTAACCTCGAGCCGTAGCCCTCACTCGGTGCTAAATTACCCGGCCAAAGGTAGATTAGCCCGAACCCTTACAAACCACCTATTGAGCTCCAATAGGGGCGTACCACGTGGCACATAAATACAACAACAATAGCAAGTCCCCCAACACCTCCCACAATAATTAAACAAATTCATAATAATATTGCACAATTATACAATATTACAAAATTCATAATTTTCTCAATAATCACCCAATTAACAAGAAGTAACACTAATCACAAATTAAAAGCATGGTTACCTTGTGGCTTTTTCAATAAATTATTCCTTAAAATTTCTCTCTCTCCACAATCTTCACCAGTAATACAATCTACAAATAACATATTATTTATAAATATTAGTTTCAATTTTTGAAACTAATAAAATAATTCTAATAATAGAATTAAAAATATAACATAATTCCTAATCTCAATCTTAATACAAATCTATAGTTAATACTATTAAGTAAAATTTTTAACTCCTCTTTTAATTATCAATAAACATTAATAATCTAAAAATCAAATTTTAAACTAATTTCTATTATCAAAATTTTCTTTTTATTTTATAAATTCGTACCTAAAATACCCAAAAATTAAAAATTGAGTCTCTAGCTTAGAATCATAATCCTATAACCATAATAATTCATTTCTCATCCCAAATAATCATCTAAACCTCAATAAATCAACATATATTTTCAGATCTAGTTTAGAATTTGATCCATAAGCCACAGATTCAAAGATCATCAATAAATTTATACTCTAGAACATTTATTATACCACTGACAACCTCAAAAATCATATTTATTCAACATAAATTCATCCCTCTTTCAGATCTTAAATTTTCTACCACTACAAACTCAGAAACTAAATAAGAAGGATGACTAAGAAAAATTTTTAGAACACTTACTTAGTCTTGAAAAGCTTAAAATCACACCCTAAATATCCTATTAAAAACTCTTACCTTAAAAATTTAGATATTTTGCACTGGCAACTCGCTTCTCTCCGCCTCAGCTCACGCGCAGAATGAATGAGGAAATGAAGGAAGGTGGGTTTTTATAAAAATTCAGTGGGTCCCACACATTTTTTTTTATTATTATTTCTTCTTCTCTCTCTTCCCCCCTTTTTTTTATTATTATTTTATACTTACTATTCATGCGGCGCCGAAAGCAAATTCGTTTTCTCTTCTTCTTCCTTTTTTTTTTGTTTTGGCATACCTTTTTCCCTTTTTTTGTTATAATAATAATTTAATAATTAATTTTTTTAATTAATTTTTTTTAATAAATTTATTTATTTTTTTTTAAATTTTTTTTTAAATTTAGAATTATATCCTAAATTAGATTTAATAATCATTTTCTACTAATTTTCTTACCTCTAAATATTATTATTTTTTTAAAAAAAAATTTCTATTAACCTAAATTAACTATTAAAATTTAAATTGGGATGTTACAAATGTCACCTATTCTTGCTCCAAAAAAAGAGGGAGAATTATTAGGAAGTTCCACCCTAGAAGGCTAAATACACTTTAATCCTACAAAATCTATAAATAACATTGAAGTCCCACACAGTTAAATTGCAAGCATATTTTTCTATGTAATTGCCTAAATGCCCTGTTACCTTGAAAGGAAAAAATAATGAATGAAAGATGAGCTTATTCAACCTCCTCCAAATTCATAAGCGACTTGTGGTAAAGTTGAGTCATAAAGTTATCATCGAAGTTAAAAAAGCAAGGTACGTAAAACCGGATCAGTCATTAAATCAGTTATGGTACTGGGTCACGGGTTAGTGGTTCAATCAGGGTTGAACCGGTGGCAAATCGGTCATGATTAAAATAATATAATTTAAATACAAAGACATTAATTATAAAAACATTCAACCAAATCCAACCACTCAAAAGTCTAACAATAATAAAATACTATATTTTTAGACTTAGCATGCTTTGCCTCTAATTTTTCATTTTTTGACTTCAATTTTACTTTTTTTTGTTATCTCATTTCCGAATTCGGAGCTCTGAAAAATTAAAAATGAAAAAAAAACGACGTCATTTTGAGGGTAAAAGTTTGAAAAAATAATAACCCGGTTAACCTGGTCAACCCACCAGGTTATATCGGGTTGGCTGAGTTACCTTGGTTCACTCCCTCACTGGGTTAAGGGTAAACCAAGACCGGACAAGGGATCAGGTCACCAGTTTCTGAGTTGACCCGGCCGGTCCGGTCCAGTTTTCAATACCATGTGAAAAAGTATATTTAGCCGCACAAATTTAGTCCAATTCATGATGCCAAGAAGTTCATAGGTTTGTTCTATCCTCGGACTTGGATACAATTAGAAACCCACCACCATCCAAATCTCAAAATATAAGACACCTTAAAAAAATTAAGATTTTATTAAATGGGCTTATTTCAATGTTATCCTTTATCTCTTTTTATTTAATACTAATCAAATGTAGGTTTAAGATTATTAAATGAAAGGATATTTTTGAAAGTTTGTGTTTTTATTTTTAAAAAATAAGATTATTAAGTATATTTAATGATGTTTATTGCATATTGGCATGTAAGATTTTGACTAAAATTTTTTTATTATTTGGGATGGAACAAGTATATTTTAACATCTTATTCAATTTTCCTCATGTCTGTTTAAAATTTTTAAGTCATTTACGTCGTTTTGAAATAAAAATTATAGTTTTTAGTTGAATATCTCATACATCAATCAATGTATAATATACAATACGCCCACAAAACACAAGAAGTTGAGTAGGAAATTGCACTATTCATAAAGTCTAAAGCTCTCATCTAACTCACGCGAGCCCTACAAATATGGCGTGCGTTTAGCTTGCATTGAGAGGCTGAATACCATGGTTTTGAAGCCTAAATCATGTTTTGCTGGGAACGAAGAATGATTACCAAACAATAACGTAATTCCAAAAAATCACAATTATAAATTTTAAAACCAAACATCATGTTTTCCCAAACCACATTTAAGGCCCATTTAAATTTCAGTTAGGTATAATTAATTATAAAAATATGATTAGTTTTGATTATAATTAATTATGTTCTAACATAATTGTATTTGGATATTGTATTTCTAAAATTAATCTTGACACAGTTGAAAATATTTGGGTAATTTTGTTATAATCAATTTCAAATGTATAAATTACCATAAAAGACATTATTTTTTAATATATAAATATTAACGTTAATATAATTGTATCTAATATTATTAAATTTTATTTAACAAATAAAATATGTATAATAATAATCCAGTTAATATTTATATAATATTTAACAGATATATAATTAATTATGAAAAATATATTTGAAAATCATATTAAAATTCACACTCACTCCTAGCCATATCAAGATGAGATGAGAAGGCGCGATTTCTTCACTCTAATTAAATAAAGGCAACAATCAATTATATAGGCAAATCCAAACAAGCACATACTCATTGGTATGATTAAAATTGCATGAGAAAATAAGTACTAGGAATTAAAACCAGAAATATGTTCAGTCACAGTCATTATTTAAATTCCCTATTATAATCTAAATTAAGAATATACATGATTTATTTGGTATTTTTTTATCTGTAAGAAAATTTTGCATATGTATTTTTATATATTTGATGTCAAACAATTCATTCTCATTATCTTAATTGGATTTGCTAATTTCATCTTTTTTTTTATTATCTGTGCAATGCACTTGTTTGAGTCTAGTTTGAAGTAAATTACTAAATTCTATTTCCCGCTCTACTTTATGAGTGTGTGTGTGTGTTTTTCTTTTCTTTTCTTTTCTTTTTTTTTGATACAAACGAATGCTTGTTTTGCGCCTTTGCGGCGTAGAACATCTGCAGACTGCAATTAGGGTGCGCTCAGTGGCAAGTTCCAACGTACGTTTGATTTGGGCCCAGCAGTTTTCGGGGCCATTCCAAATCCCAACAATTATCGGTCCAATTTTGCAAACTTAATCTGTTTTTTCACCTCAATCTGACCCAAATCTTGTAGCCGTCGTCGTTCATTCAGAAAAAACGAGCAGGATAACCGACAATGACAGGATAAGCATTTACTCATCTAGCTACGTTCTGTCCCTCGGAAAACCTAAGCTCGGGCTTTATTCCCCTCCTAGCGTATCACGCCTTAACCCCCTTTGAGTTGGATCCTGTCTCAGGAGCACCGAAAGGGAAAAAGGGTTGGTTCTTCTAATCTTATTCCGACCGCATTTTGTGTCGCAATCATGGAAACTTGAATTGTCAGCCTTACAAGTTCGGAGAAACAATGGATTTAGCGGCACCCACTACGTATCACTGTGAGCAGTTTTGTTCATTTCAACACTTCCACAGGGATGGCGCAAGAACCTCATGCTTCAGAGGTAGGGTTTGGGATAACACTAGTACTGGTTACAAATTCAAATCGGTTGAATCTGGGAAATCGAGGGGGCGTCGAAGGAATTTGGACAATCGCGTGTTTGCTGTTTCAAAGGTCGAAACTCCTGGTTTGAATGGGAAATTGCAGCAGTCCGGAAGAACACGGCAATGGAATCTGAATGGGGCGGAATCCTCGTTAAATGGCTTCAATCCATCTCGGAGTTTTGAGGAGTTCGAGAGTAACAATCAGCTCCGCCGATTAGTTAGAAATGGGGAATTAGAAGAAGCGTTCAAGTTCATTGAGCGTCTGACTTACCGTGGCGACATACCTGATGTCATTGCTTGCACAAGTCTGATTCGTGGATTTTGCAAGACGGGAAGGACTAAGAAGGCCACTCGGGTTATGGAAATTCTGGAGGAGTCCGGAGCAGTTCCTGATGTCATAACTTACAACGTTTTAATTGGTGGATTCTGTAAATCAGGAGAGATAGATAAAGCCTTGCAGGTTTTGGAGCGTATGAGTGTTGCTCCAGATGTTGTTACCTATAACACAATTTTGCGCAGTTTGTGTGATAGTGGGCAACTGAAGCAAGCAATGGAAGTTCTTGACAGGCAGTTGCAACGGGAGTGCTATCCTGATGTAATCACATACACTATATTAATTGAAGCAACTTGTAAGGAGAGTGGCGTTGGTCAGGCAATGATGCTGCTTGATGAGATGAGGAGTAAAGGATGTAAACCTGATGTGGTTACTTATAATGTTCTCATCAATGGGATGTGCAAGGAAGGAAGGTTGGATGAAGCAATTAAGTTTTTGAATAACATGCCATCCTATGGTTGCCAACCTAATGTAATCACGCATAATATTATTTTACGTAGCATGTGTAGCACTGGGAGATGGATGGATGCTGAGAAACTATTATCCGACATGCTTCGTAAGGGTTGTTCTCCTAGCGTCGTTACATTCAATATTTTGATTAATTTTTTGTGCCGTAAAGGCTTACTGGGCAGAGCCATTGATGTCTTGGAGAAGATGCCAAAGCATGGCTGTACTCCTAATTCCCTGAGTTACAATCCATTGCTTCATGGCTTCTGTAAAGAGAAAAGGATGGATAGAGCAATTGAGTATTTGGAAATAATGGTAAGCAGGGGATGTTACCCTGATATAGTCACCTACAATACTTTACTAACTGCACTATGCAAAGATGGGAAGGTGGATGTTGCAGTTGAGATACTGAATCAACTAGGTAGCAAGGGGTGCTCTCCTGTTTTGATTACTTACAACACAGTTATTGATGGGCTTTCTAAGGTGGGAAAGACAGACGCTGCTGTGAAACTGTTAGAAGAGATGTGTAGGAAGGGTCTTAAACCTGATATAATTACGTACTCTTCTCTAGTTGGAGGGCTGAGTCGTGAAGGAAAGGTTGATGAAGCAATCAAGTTTTTCTATGATTTAGAAGGATCGGGTATTAATCCAAATGCTATAACGTACAACTCAATCATGTTGGGACTTTGCAAGGCTCGACAAACCAGTCGTGCTATTGATTTTCTAGCTCGTATGATCTCAAGAGGATGTAAACCGACTGAAGCTACGTACACTATTCTTATAGAAGGCATTGCGTATGAAGGATTAGCTGAAGAGGCTTTGGCGTTATTGAATGAGTTGTGCTCCAGAGGAGTTGTGAAGAAAAGTTCAGCTGAGCAGGTAGCAGTCAAAATGTAGGATATCCATATATATTCTCAACTCGCTGACGGTTGTATCATATTTATGCACTTAGATTTTGCAAACCCTTGTGTCAGTGATTTCATGATCTAGATTTTTAGATTTTCATTATGAGGAAGAAGCAATGCAAAGTGCGAAAATCAATTTTGTTGAGATGTGTTGTAACTCATCCAGACATATTTTAGTTTTGGCTTTTTGAATTATTTCACATACTGCCTCGACTTCAATATGCACCATCCTTATGTCTGAATTTTTCTTGATATCCATTAAACATAAGTTTATATCTCCAATTACGAGTGCTTTGCTGCAAGTCATGATTCCATATCCTATCGATACATCTATGAAAGTTACAGCAAGCTGTATTGTTCACAAAAGACCTATATATCATGGCTCACTCCTTGGGCTGCATGCCATGTTAATGTTGAATTTAACATAGCACTTATTGCAGGGATCCAGTTCTTGTCTATGCTGAACAGAGATAATATTTTGCAGCAAATTGTTGGGCCTGCGGATGTAAAACGATGTAATATGATAAATTGGTGGCTATGTGCTTTCGTCATAAATTCATAATGATGTCAGATTTTTAGACATTATAGTTGGATGGTTAGATATTTTGTGACGTGAAATGGACATACAAATATCCCTAATGCATGCATGTTTCGGACTTTCAGACGTCTATATTTCAGTATTTTATTCTGGCTTCTTCTCTATTTTTAGGACTTGCAGACGTTTGGGTTAAGGCTTATTCCTCTTCTCCTATTCACTGTTTAGAGTTGAAGCATGACAATTGTCTAGTGAGGAAACTTCCCTGTGAATGTTGTTTAATGCATCATGTTCGTAGCTGGGGAAGTTCCTCCTATTTTTTGGTAAATTATATAGACTTCCATTCTAGCCGACCTCACCTAGTAGGATAAAGGCTTGTTATTGTTGTTGTATATAGACTTCCATTCATTTTTTTTAATAATTATACGTGCTTCCTTCTATTTATCAATTCTTTCTAAAACAAAAAAGTTACTTCGCGCTCTAGTTCAATTTTAATTGTTTTTTTTTTAACAAAACATCTTCAATTCAAAATCTTTTTAGCTAAAAAAATGCACATGGGTTCTACTTCACAAAATATTTTGACGACCGTGAATTTTGTTAACTTTTATGGACTTACGCTGATGGAAGCAGGAAACGTGAAATGAAACTGCAGAGTTCTGCGCAAATAAGCGCAAATGGATGGAGATCTTACTGAAATTGCGAAACACTTCATCAAGATCTTCTTAACTTTAGAGGATTCTTTCTTGAACGAACAAACAAATAGACACGTTTACATTAGCAGCCTGAACAGTGCCTGATAGTACTCACGTTGAAGCAGGGCTTTTCCATGTGTCCTCAAAACTCAACACGAGATTCTCAGAATCACGTGGATGGATCATGCATAATGGCCCGCTCAGTTTCTTACCGTTTGTGTATCCACTGTCCAATATTTTAGCAGCTTTTTAGTATGTAGTAGTTACCTCGGTGTTGCAGGGCTATTTTAGGGCGTCCTTCATCTGTCTTTTGTCCAAATGCTATGCCATGCTATGCACACATTACTGTTGACTAACACAGTTGAATAGTGGATGAGCAAGGCAGCCATTCATATCCTCCATAATGCAATTTGCAGCGAATCTGTGCTGCAACATTTTGTCCAGCTTCTCCTGTTTCGCTAACTTGCACGACGGTGACGTTGATCCGTCTCTTTCCAAACCGAAGGATCTGAATTATGAAGTACTAGTAGATCTGACCTTTGCTAGGTTAAAACCGACCCGTTTGAACTCGTTGGACCGAATGGTTCGCCAATTATGGATGATCGGTGGGAAGTTTGTCTCCCTGGAATTATTGTTCTTTGTTCTTGCATTTCAACGGTTCAAATTGATTTAGCCAGGTTAAGCGGTGAAATTTTGCTCTGAAGAAATCTCGTTTTCTTCAATAGAGGAAATTTGGACTCGTGATTCCCTTCGTTTTTCAAATACAAAACTGAAATTTAAAGTTTTCCGGAGATTATCAACTATCACCTGTGTGGTTTAGACTTGGATGTCGAGTCACCAATGGCTTGAAAGGACAGCGGTTCCGGATTCTTTTTGCGAACGGACGGACGGACGCAACGCTCTCTTCCCGGACAGCACACGTTCTGAAAGAGAAAAGTGAAAATAAGTACCAATAGCCCTACCTAATATAGTACGACTGATATGGATGATCATTTCAAGATTTTTAAGCAAAAAGATTTAAATGAATTAAATTCAGGATACGGTTAAAACATGTTTTCAAACTGAAAAAAATTATACATATACTTATAGATGAAAGTATTCGTGTTAGCAAAGAGATTTGATTTACAATTTTATGAGATATGACTTGAATTCTTATCAAGTTAACCAATTTTTGTTGGTTAATTAATTCAATTGGTGTGTGTGGAGAACATGTTCCAAATAACGGGAAAACGTGGTGCCCAAAAAATTGACGTGAATAAACGAGAAATGGATGGCCTTTATTGAGCATTGAAATTCTGTGTGATCAGTGAGTTTTGTGCGGAAGAAAGACCAGGGCATAAATGCTGACCACCGAAAGAGAAAGAAAGAAAAAAGAACAGTGTTGTGAACGTTCACTAAGATTAGGTGTACAATTTGTCTCCCGCGAATATTCCCCTTTAATGCCTCCAAAAAAAAATTAGCCCCACACCTTTATGATCAAACAAGATACGTCCCTTTCCTGTACAACTTTGTTTATGGCGATCGGTCCTATTGCTTCTGCTTAAACTTCATCCAAATTCCAAAATGTCTCCTCGGTAGCCTATGGCTTCTCCTTAAATCAGGTTTCCTAGTTTCTCTTTTCTTTTTGGGAAAAAATAACTGTCCTGTTAGAAAGCTTATAAGGAATTGATAAATTATTCTTTCATCTCAAATTATAAAATATTTTTATATAAAATTTTATATATTAATAAACCTCATTAAATACACTTAACAAACTTATCTTTTCAAGATAAAAATATAAACTTTCAAAAATATTCATCATTTAATAAATTGAAAAGAAAAGAGATAGAAATTAATTACAAAGAGAGAAAGAAAAATATTAAAATTGTGCATTTAATAAAACTTTAATCTACCCAAAGTGTTTTATATTTCAAGACGAAGAAATTTTTTTAAAAGTATCTTATAATTTGGGACAAAGGGAGTACTTTTTTAACATTCTTTTCTTTTATTCTTAAATAAGTTTTTAACAATCCTTTTGCTTTGAAGAAAACTACACACTTTCTATTTAGGGTTGAAATGTATTTTTCCCTCTACCTTTCTTCAAGGAGCATTGAACATCTATATTAATAAGTGGGGTATTTTTTTTCTCAAACCATTCTTTAGAGTAGAATAAATTTTCATTTATTAATGATCCATTAATTTTGTCATTTTTTAACTAACGTATTATGTCTTTTAGTGTTGATCTGTCCTCGAACTATTTTTTAGAAGTAGTTAATACCCTGAAGTTATTAAAAAAAATTTAATAAATACTATTAAATTATTTAATTTAAATATTATTATTTATAAAAACTCATCAAAAATTATAAATTAATTTTTTAAATATTAATATATTCAGCTACTTTTTCAAAAATTTATAAATGACTTGTAAATTGTATATGAAGATTTGTGAATAATAATAACAATAATATTTTTAAATAAATTATATAAAATGAATTTATAAGAAAGTTAATAATGATTAAGTCCTTTTAATATTTTAGGTTATTTTTTGTAATTTTGTTGTCAATTAACGGTCTTCCTTGAAAATATTGCGGCATGCAAATTTAACATTTTAATATTTTGTAATTTTATATCAAAATGAGGGAATGAACTTTCAAATAAATGGATAAAATTAATATTGTTTTGTTAAATTTACAACTCATTTTTTTATTTTAAAATTAAAAACATGTTACATTATATGAAAATATCAATTAAGTGCAAGTGACATTTCAATTTTGAATATCTATTAATTTGACTATTAGTTGACCAAAAAATTTAAGATAATGACTTAGAAAGTTCAAGATATTTAATCAATATTAATTTTTTTAAAGGATAGCTTTCTTAATAAATATTAAATACTGGATAAATTGGTCTACTAGCCAAAAACAAAATATTTCCAAAAAATATGGATCAAATTTTTTAAAATTTTAAAATATGATTGGTTTACATTGATATACAGAGGGTTTATCATTAATATATAAAAATTTTATTATTGGTATCCAAAGGGTTTATCATTGAATTTTTAAAAAAATTACAAGAAATTTATCATTGACATATAAGTATGTAATAGTATATCATTAATAAATATAATAAATCATTCATAATACAAAATATAATAAATGTTAGACTATTTTTTGTTTTAGCAATATAACATAAGCTATATATTCAAAAGTACCTTAAATATTTTAACAATATTTATTAAATTTTAATAAATTTTTAGGATACTAAGGGCTAATAGAAAAAGAGTTTATGGATATATTAATATTAAAGGATGTGTCATGTTAGTAGATAATAGCAAAGTTAATGAATCACTAATGGAAGGAAATTTTTGCTCCCATGAAAAACAATTTAAAAAATAAAATATTTATTTTTAATATAGGGTGCTCAATATTTCTCAAAGCAAAATATGGAAGAAAAGTGAACTTTAGCCTTTTTTTTGGATCATGTGAACTTTAACTTTTTTATTTACAATCCTTTCGTTTTGAAGAAAACTTCAAAAGTTTTGGTAAATTTTAAATAGAGGTGAATAGATGGGAAGTGAATGTACTCCTTTCAGCCCGTATTATAAAATATTTTCAACCATTTCATGTATATTAAGAAAAAATAATCTTTTTTTGATATCATAGAAAAGTAAGTGATACTTTTATTTTTATCCTTGTCTTTAAATAATAACGCGACTACAATAAATACCTTCATGCTAGTCAATAAGGAATAAAATTAAAAAAAATGATTCACTTATTATAAGGTATCTTATATTTTAAATTAATTTTTTTAAAAAAGTGTTTTATAAAATAAAATCGGAGGGATTATTGATTTTCATGAACTAACACAAGATATTAGGATAAATAACATGACCTGCTAAGGAAGCGTTCTGTGATTCGTCATTAGAACTATAACTCTAGCAGTGACCATGCCCGTAGTTACTTATGATGTGTGATTTATGAGTAATGTCACTTAACTTTTCAAATAGCGTTTGTACTAGTTAACATAAAAGTTTAGGAAAAACATAACGAAGGACCTTGGAGGATTTTATTTATCAAAAATGATAAAATAATTCTGAAATCACATTGTAGGATCAAGAAACCTAAACATAATTAATTTTTAATGTAAACAAAAAATTGTCACTGATTTGTAAATGAACTTGTTACTTTGCCAAAATTTTCTTGTCAAATAATCAAGAGAAAATTTTAAAACTAATAATAGAACTTGTCATCTCACAAATGATTATTTGTTAAATTGTCAATAGGATTTGTCATTCCTAATAATAAAACTAAGCAAGCATTTATAAAAATTAGTGCATATTAATTTTTTTAACAAGTCCTATTAATAGTTTTACAAATAGTCATTTGTAAAATGATAAGTAACCATTAAGCTTCTGGTAAATATTGTCATAAAAAGTGAAAGCAAAATTTAAAATACAAGAATTTC